AACTCAAAATTAATTTTGGAGTTTTTAAGTTGTGGCTGACACAACCTGGTTCAAGCCCTGGCTGGGTCGCCGTGTTGTGTTCTTGGACAAGACACTTTACTCTCACTGTGCCTCTCTCCACCTAGGTGTATTAATGGGTTCGGCGTACTAAATGCTTGGGGGGGGGGGGTCCTGCAAGGAACAAGTATCCCGTCTAGGGGGGAAGGGGAGTAGGAACCCTCTCAGATGACTTATGCTACAGAAAATATGGTAAGCTCTGGCCGTATGGGACATGTTTCCTGACATGCACAGTAACTTCTTTTACTTTCCTGTGTTGTACAGGCCAGGTTATGGTATCTAAAGATTCTTGTATCTCTTTTAACTTTCTAGCTGACACAGAATCTCAGCAGAAGGTTTTTGAAGAGATGACACAGAGTAATGTCAAGCCAAATAATTATACTTACTCTGAACTGATGAAGACTTTTATAATGAAGTAAGTACGATTATTACAGTGGAACCTGGCTTTGTGGAGACCCGATTAGTAATAGTAATTGGACCGAGTGGAGTACAATTCAGGGAGTAATCGTGCGAGTAATGTCAAAATCGGACGAGCGCGAAGCGCGAGGCCGATTTGAAATTACGAGCACAAGTACTCCCTGAATTGTACGACGCGAGGTCCAATTACTAATTAATCGTATCTATAACAAATTTCGGAATTGAAAATGTCTTATGAGAACTTCTTTTGAGCGAAAACGTCTGTAGCATTTTTTCTAAGTTTTGAAAACTGACCGAAACATTGCGAAGGAAGTCATTAAAGCGTGCGTAATTGACGTGCAAATCACGTGGGTATTCAATTACAGGTATCCAATTACCAAAAGTTAAAATTGGACACCCACGTGATTGCGCACCGATTATGTGACAAATAGGCGCACGGAGAACCAATCATGACCGACAATTTTGTTATAGATATGATTAATATAGACACCTGCATATTATGGACACCCACTTAATACAGACACCTCTGTTACACGGACACCCTATTATGGCGGCCGGATGCAGTTTTGCGCATGCTCTCACTAGTGCAATTCAGCATGCACATAAGGATTACAAAAAACAAACGTGGTGCATATACAGTCATTGTTTTATTTGTTCTGTACCTGTGCCTTTTTTATATATAAATGACACAATGTGTTGCAGATTTTATTATTTTGTTAGAAAGATATGTTAGAACAACTGAAGATGCAAAGAACCCAGAAATTTTACAGGGTTTCCTTTGTCATCGAAAGAACCCAGTTAAATGCAGCCCATGCGTGGTTAGAAAAAAAATTGAGGCTCAATGTAATAGACACTGCAGAAATGGCGCCGATATTTGAATAACAATACTGATACATCCTAAGCCTCACATTCATGTGTAAAACTGACCCTTTGTCTGAAAACATTGACACGAGGCTTAGGATGTATGAAGTATTCTTATTCAAATTTAGGCGCTATTTATGGTGTTTCTGGCTTTCTCGAAAATACACCGAGAAGTATTCTTCAGAGGAAATTTTAAATTATCCAGTTATCCTTCAACAAAAGATAATTCAAAATCTCTCTGTTAAACTATTATCAAATTTGTGCTAACATACGAGCATTGCTACACGATCGTTACGTGAAATTGACGAAGGAAATCTAATGACTACATTTTTTTCAAAACTCTATGGTAGTTCCAATTCTGTATCGCGTTTAGGTATGTTGTAAACATCCTTGTCGGAAATACATTTTTAAACTTCCTAAAATGATCAAACATAGACGGATTCGGCTAACGTGTTAACATCGTTGTCATCACCCAACTAAGATCATATGATGATTCCTTCAGGAGGTTACAATTGTTCTATTTTCACATACTCCCATGCAATCAGTTGCGGGTGACAAATTGTACAATTGTAGCCTCTCAAATGAATCACCATGTGGTCTGAATTGGGTGGCAACAAGGAAGCAAAAACACGTTAGCCGAATCATCCAGAAAACGTTCGCAAAATCTTATTTATCGCAAACTTTTCCTTTGCTAGGGATGATGTCACTAATGCAATGAGACTATTCCAAGATGCCAAAGAGCAGGACCTGTTTCCTACGCATTCAGTTTGTCTTCAGTTTCTTAACTGCATGGCGAGGTCAGGCCAAACAGAACATTTTGAAAGTGGTACGTATTTTGTATCTCGATAGTTTTATTTAAGGGATAGAGAGCATTTTCCGTGTTTAGAATATATCTACTAACGTTCTATCACTAATGCCGTTTTCTGATTGGCTGCGCTACTCGGCCCCGTCCACATTACGCCGGAGGAATTTGAAAACGCAGCTCTATTTCACCGGTTAGGCCTTCCGTCCACACTAGTCCACACTAAAACGGAGCTTTTCGAGAACGCTCTTCAAACCGGAGGAATTTGAAAACGGAACTTTAATTCTTCCGCTTAGGCCTACCGTCCACACTAATCCGTCATGAAAACAGAGCTTTTCGAAAACGCTCTTCAAACCGGAGGAATTTGAAAACGGAGCTTTGGGTTTTAGTGTGGACGGGAACATTTTGAAAACGGAGCTTTTCGAAAACGATGACGTCACGCTGCTTACGATCGATGCTTGAAACTCTACTGCTACGTTTAGCATTAATTCCACCTCGCCGTCCAACCAAGAAAAGTACTCATTTATTTTGTTTTCCCCAGATTTGTTCTTTGTTTGGCCGGACTTCAACACTTTTCTTTGAAGTTCTTTCAAACAGATTTAAAAGATGGCGCGAACAACAAGCGGGTAGCCACGTGGGTCAACTAGAACCTTGTTATGCGCATGCTCACGGGTGCACTCAAGCGTCTCTGCCGCCGATGATTGTTGCATTTTCAAATTTCTCCAGCGTGGTGTGGACGGAAAACATTTTATACGTTTTCTAGTGTGGACGGAGAACATTTTATACGTTTTATATTGTGGACGGAAAACACTTTTTACGTTTTCTAGTGTTGACGGAAAACATTTGATGCGTTTTCAGAGTGAAACCTCCGTTTTCAAATTCCTCCGACGAAGCGTGGACAGGACCAGAGAACCTGTTGTAAGCCGGCACTAGCGACTGTGAGGGCCTCAAGGGTGTCCGCTTGATACAGATTTCACTGTAGTGCATCCTAGATTTATTCGTTTTTCGCGAAAACGTAGAAAAACGGTAGATAAGTGATTTGTCAAACTTTGGTTTCACTGGCGCATAAGTGTAAGCATGAGCCCAGGCATATGCAAATGAGAACAACAGAACATCAGCAGAAGCAGAAGCAGAACAAACATTTTTCGTTGTTGTAATACCTACGCTGTGCTTATGTTGTAGTGAGGACGCGGATGACATAAGCATTACCAAATGCAGAAGTCACTCATTACGCACTTTTACCGCAGGCTTCTGCGAAAATATCGCAAACAACATGGCGGACTCCGCCATATTGTTTAACAATCGAGAAAGGGTGGTATCTAGAATCCCGTTTATTCTGCGTGTGCGTATGCCGTTATGCTTATGCTCAAGTACTTATGCTTGTGCTCGTGCTTATTCACTTAATTTAAGTCAAAACTAGCTTAAAAGAAGGGTCGCCGAAAGTTCAAGACCGTGCAAGCAATGCAAAATTATAGCAGAAGCCTGTAGCGCTATTCTTGGTCATTTTACTACGTCACGCGCAGTGCTCGTTTGAATTGTGTGCACAGTAAAAATGTGCGCAAACAACAGGCTACTTCTGTAATAATAAAACTGGCTTTGATAGCGAGGTCTAGAGGCAAAAACAAAAGAAATAAATAAACATGGTCATTCAATTTCCTTTGTTTGTGTCCTATAGGCTTAGCTTCCAAGCTGAATTTTAATTTATCGAACAGTCTATTAGCGCGAACATTTTAAATTTATGGTGTTGTTGTTTTATAGTTCTGGAAGATGTTGTTGCCAACAAAATAAGATTCCGACTTGGCAAAGACCCAGGACGTTTCCTGGCTGGTCTTGTTTATGCTGCTGTGCATGCTGGAAAGAAGGACCTTGTTGTGAAACTCCAACTGGTGAGTTTTGCCTTTATTTTCCTTATCTGTCAGAATACGAGCTTAGAGCGGTGTTAATTTGAGTGTCGAAAAGTAATCGGTTTTGTATTAGTACGCTGCGCGATTGGCTTAAAAAACTCGCGCCACTTTTTCATCCAATCAGATTTAAAACTCTAACCAATTGTGACTCACTCGCACTCGTTTTCCCGCGCTTTTCGTCAGCTACACGGATTTACTTCGAGTTTTGATTGGATCACTGTAATGTCTGTATCCTTTGTGATTGGCTAGAGTGATTGCTTTGGTTTTGGTTTATGACACTCCCTTGAAAACTGCTCTAATGGGATGCAATGTTGTTTGACTTTCCGGGGGGTATGCACTTTATGGTTACAACTTGAGAAAGTTTGTTTCAGTATTGTTTCACTTTGGGTTGTAACATTGTAATAGGTCTCATCTGATTTTAACAGTCTAATTCTGAGTCGACGTGACAAGAAAACGTGTGCCACTCTAATCCTACCCCCCAACCCCCTCCCAACCGTATTTTGGTTGATCACCAGTTCAGCGTAGTTCACTGTAAGGATTTACATATCTCTTGAAAACCTCTCAAATTCCAGTCCAATAGTGTCCATTTGCCATGCATTTTTGTAGTCTTTGCCACGATGCTACCTTCCCGTCTCCTTCTCACGCATCTGCCGTCAGAGACAGTATTTTCATACCGCAGGGTTCATGAGTAGTACTTTGCAAAATTCCTTGCATGTCGCCATTTTGATGTTATTAAAGAGAGAGCAACGTTTAAGAAGTTGTCACTGATAGTAATTCTGCTGCCTCTTCCATATCCAGCCCGCCACACCGGCACGCATAACTCGAGTAAGTAAGTAAGCGAGAGTTGCGAGCAGCCTAAGCCCCCACCAGAGTTAACAATTCACGAAAACGACAGCGGTTGCGACCCTTGCTGTTTCAACCGTTGGAAAACCCAACCAACCAAAAAACGGTTGATCCCAATAGAACGAGACTCAGTTTAGATGCACCTTGAAAACGTGTTAAGGTAATTCTTGACATTATAAGGAGCTTTATAATGACGTCTCTTCGACCTCTACATCACAAACACTCTCTCCAATACCGAGACACTGTTCCTTGTATCCTGATCTTCCTTGTGGTAGAATAAATAGTGTAAAATGTTGATGTCATTCTCAAACTAACCGATGTGTGTCTTTATTTATTTGATTTGTTAACTTAGGAGCATGAAATGACATTGTCCGCGAAGTTCTTTATTAGACACGCGAGAAACTCTGGAGGTCGTGGCGAGGTAAGTTGTTTAATTTCTGAAAGTTCTAAGTCCTGAATGTAGAATATAGCTTACCGTTGTATCAAAATTCAATCAGTCGCAGAAGGACATAGGAACAGTTTTTCAGTTGCAGTGCATTTTGCAGGTTGTGCATATCAGACTGACAATAGAGCAGTCTGATTGGGTGGTTTTGGTTATTGACCTGAACTATTTTAGTCGGATATTAAGGCTGGTTGATATATGGCAAGGTAGTCCTGAGGAAAATCCGAGCGCTCTAATTGGTTCTTCCTTGGTCATGGTCTTGCCATGTGGACGGTTTCCATGGAAACGATCATAAGCCGTGAATTGTTTGTTTGTGAAACATGGCCTGAGTGCCATATAATAAACTACTTGCTAACCTAGCTTGCCGGTTTAGCGGTTTGAGCCAAATTCCCATTGATTTGGTGATTTACGCTTGGCGGTCAATCAAACATCTCGTGCAGTCTTTGTGTTTGTGAATAGCCCATTGGACGTCAAACCCTTTTGTTGGCTGGTTACTCAATGGAGAAATACGTTTTTTTTTTTTTTGAGCTAAAGAGATGATGATAATCGTCCCAACAGTAAAGCGATCTCGGTCTGCGGTTTCCAATGAACAAATATGGCGATTTGCGGAATGTGCGACCCCCTTTAATAGACCCTCTACTAATCGGGCGCCCTACTGGGGAATATTGGCCCTCGGTCGTTTTTGTACGGACCTCGCTACGCTCCGTCAGTACTACTACGACCCCGGGCCAATTCTCCAAAACGGTGAACGGTATTTATTATTAACCTAGTTGCCTTTGTTGCAGGCTAACGGACCGAAACCCAGGCGGGTTCCATGAACACCTAAACTTAAGAACGAGGCCGATATACAGCCATCTTTAACAAACAAGCTTGGCCAATTTAAGATTTATTTTATGGCGTAAGACCACCATTTTTCTTGTGAGAAAACCTCATCTTACTCGCTCGGTAGCCAATCGCATCACAGAATTTGGGTCACGTTGCGTGCTCGTGGAGCTAACCATATACAGAAAACGATAGACTAACTGCACAAAGCTATTGCATTGTAAAGCTGGATTACAGTTTACTGTACATTGCCGTGCACTTAGCACCCTGCGAGCAGTCGGTAACTGCCTGCAGGGTATGTACTTAGAGACAGTCCCATTGTCAGTAATGTTGGATGATAATTAACAATGCCTTGCCGCGCAGTGTATGTCAGAAATGGAAGCTTACATATCAGTTTATACTGTCGTTCTTCTCGTTGGTAGGTTAATGCCGTTTTGAACATTATTGAATTCCTGAAGGAAAATAACCTGGACTACGCAGCCATGTATAGTCCACTTATTGACGCTTATGGTAAGTGAAATAACATCCACATTCAAAATGATTTGCAAATCTCGGCAATCTTTTGATGAAATCCATTTTGATCTCAGTTCTTATTGGCTTAACAGAAAAGCTCGGTAATCTACGTATTTTTGCAATCAGTTTTTTCGTTTCGAAAAATATGGCAAGGGCGGGACGTCGGGGGGGGGGGGGCGGGGGGCTACGTCACCAATTATGTTATACGTAACAACGCCAGGCTTGCGTTATGGCCTTCCTGGCTCCACGAGGGTAGTGTCATTTCGGCGGGAAAAGTGTTAGTTGCCCACGTGCAAACTAGTGTCATTTTGCTGGGAAAAAACGGGGAACGCTTTCCATTCAACCACAATTTCTTTCGAAACGGGGTAAATGAAACGAAAATTTTACTTCCAACCCAACAGTATTATAGTTTGGGATTTTTTTTTCGAGGTAGGGAACCCAGACTCTGAAAAAGCGTGTTGGGGTTTTTCTTTGTTCGACTGCATTCAAAAGTTACAGAACATTTTCAAAATGAGTGTAGAAAGTTATGGACTGACCTCAGAGAAATGACTTGTAGCGGAATCATTTTTAGAATTGTCAAATTCGCCATTACGCGTTTGTTGGAGATTTCAACTAACCAAATCTGGTTACATGTTCATATTGCCTTTGAGCTGGAACCCTTCAAAGTGTCCCACTCCAGCGAGAAAACATCAATTAGCTGTCAATCAGTGAAAAACGTTTACTTCCGGTGGAAAAGGGCTTCGTCTATTTTCTCGGTGAATATTTACACTCTGAATTCCTTTTGAATTTCTCTTTTGAATTTTTTTTCTGAAAGCTCATAGTTCAAAGTTTATTTTTGCAGAACAAAAAAACGGAAATTGAAAATTTTTCACTGTGAAGGTACACGGTAACCTTAAAGGAGCTTAGTCACGGTATTTTGAGTTATTTTAGCAGCGTACAAAATTACCTTGAAATTGAAGGAAACCTGAAAATAACAGCTCACTAAGGCAGAAAAACACGAAAGAGATAACAATAAACCGTAAAGGAACAAGGATGGTTAAGGATGGAAAAGATTGACACGGATTATTAACGACAAACGTGAAAGGTTTAGGCTAATACATATGTAATGTGGTTGTGTTTCAGATGCCAGACAGGATCTGGACTCAGTAAAGGCAGTGTATAACAAGCTGGTCGAAGACGGTGAAAAGCTTGAGGAAGGCTTCCTTCAGCATTACAACCATATACTGATGAAGAATTCTGGAGGAATAACTGAGCCGAGTCATAGCGGATCAACTATCAAGGTAAAGCGAGTTCGTCCCCAGGTTCTTCTCAATATTGAGTTCCAAGATGGCGGTCACTGTTCTCATGCCTTAAACTTTGGAAAATGCGCTTTCCCCGAACCTCAGACGTGAAAGTCCCGATGTTTTTAACCTCTTTTCATAGCCCGTAGACTTGCGATGCATTCCTTTCCTATGCAGAGCTTTTTTTTAAGTTCAGAACATTGCGAAGCATCAAGGTATTACATGTCCATTTAACAATAGCAGAGCTTTTGTTATTTTCTCTGTTTTTTGTTTGTTTGTTTTTTTGTTTATTTGTTTGTTTTTTGGTAATTTAGCTGTTGAAATCTGTTAAGGTCTGTAGGTGCTGTAATCGAACGTTTTTAGTTAGATATAAAGCACTGGATACATGCGTGATGGAAACCGCAGCGTTGAATTGATGAAATCTGTGTTCAAAACTCTAGCCAATCAAATTTCACCTTTCCTTCGTGCCAAGGCCTCGCCGATTAAGATGGACGGGCGGTATGGGAACTAGAACGCTATGTTTGTAAGACACGCTGAACTCCTTCCCTTTCATGTCTGGTGCCCAGTCCCCCCATTGTGTGTGGGATGCACAGGATAACCTTTCATTTTATATTTCCTCTTTGGTATTATTAGACCCAAGCTGTGGACGAAGAATCTGACTCGTCGTCGAGTGATGATGAAAGAGATCACGTAGAAGATGTAGAAAAAGATTTTGAAGAGGTAATTAGCGCGCATGTCAAATACCTCTGATATTTCCCCTACCGAAAATGTTGAAGTCTCTCAAATCATGGACGTTGTTTTGGCCACACATAAAATTACCTTTTAATTGAAGGAAACCTGAAAATAGTAGTTTACTAAGATAGAAAGACACCAAAGAGATAATAATAAACCATAAAGGGACGAGGATGGTTAAGGGTGGAGCAGATTAACACGGATTAGAAATGATGAACTTGAAAAATCTAGGCTAAACATTTCAAGATGCGCCAACCGTGACGTAGCTCCTAGTGGTCCCATGGAATAACTTTTGGTGTATTATTTTTGCAGCTGGATAATCCCAAATAAGAACCTGGCTTTGAATGTTTCAACCCTGGTACCTCCAAGATCAACGTGGAGTACTCAGCTTTATTTCGATCTTCCTAGTTCACGACTTACATCTTTCTTTTGTTTGGAGGAGGTTTTTGCATTTGAAGATCACCCAATCACAAAGAACCCATTCAGTCAGCGGAGTTCTTCGTTCGCTAGAAGTACTTCATGTTGGACGTAAAGATCAAGTTATTCCGATTTCGCTGGCATCACACACGGATGTTACGTTTAGCTTCCAAGTTCGCACTTTAATGTCTTGGAAATATTTTTAGTGAATTGGGATACTTAAAGACAGCTTTGCTTCTATGGGCTATTTGCGAGGTACTGACCTCTGTTTCAAAACGAGTCCGTGCGAAACCTTTCATATGAAAGTGAGTTTGATTTGCGTGAAAATTTAGCACAGAAGGAGCACATTTTCATATGAATGATTTCACACGGAGACTCGTTTTGACACAGGCAAAAGGCAACTCGCACATGGCCTATTGTACGTGCATCTGCAACCTAAAGATGAAATTAGAGGGAGAGTTCTTGCCGTTTTTCTGCGCCTGTGTAAAAGTTTGGATGTATTGATTTCCTTGACCTGATTTGTGAACCATTTTGAGAATGGCTGCCATTGTATTGTCGTCCCTGTATTGAAAGAATTTATTAAACTCTAAATTAAGCAATGTACGAGTTTGTTGTAATTTGTGGCAACGTGTATGGAGAGAGGTGGTCTCTCGAAAGTAAATAACCCGAGAAGACGGAAGAAATTTAGGCGATAGCTTTTGAGGATTCAGTGTAAGAACGCGTGTAAAAAACGTAAGGTAATTACCTCCTTCTTGGAGCGACTGGGATTTCTCGATTCCCACAGTCATACTCTAGAGAGCTTTTCTCAGTCACCTCTAAGGGTTGAATTCAATCGTTCTGCCACAATGTTCCTGTGATCCTGTGCGGCCTCACGAAAGGATGTTGAAAAAAAAATTGAGTTGTTTCGGTAGTTACTGGAGCACAGTATACCTTTTTCTGTAAATGTTTTTTTTTTTTATCCTATCTGTTGTTTTTGTACTGAATTTTCGGTGGCTGCTGTCCACCTTCATCAGAGTTGCAATGTGAAGGTTCGTTACTGCTCGCGCCACAACCTCGCGCATGCTGTCGTTTTATTGATTTTTTAAGTCAACGGTAAATAAGCGCGAGGGAGCGGTTTCCTTTCTTTGACGGCCGCGGTGTCCAAAATTTAAGTGCCATGACTCCAAGAAAAGCCTCTTGTGGTAGTTTGGTAGTGAATGTGCAGTCGTGGCAGCTCACTTTGTAAACGATCCCTTGGACTCGGTCGATCGTTGGTCGGTCCTTGGGCTTCGTAAATATGTGATCCAATGTTCGTAGTGGCCTAAAGGCTGCCCGAACGAGAAATTAGGGAGTCTAAGTAACCACGACGGCGACCCCGAGGGCAACGTCATCGTCATCACGCTGAAGATGAATTAATTCTGTGAAGCTACATATTTATTAAGCTTAATTGGCATAGAAAAGTTTTTAACATGCGTAAATTACAAACATAGTCTTCATACATATATACTTTCATTCCAGAGCCGCCAGGTCCACACTTCTTACTTCATTTATATATAGATTCTGTCCACAGGCCCTCGGGTCGACAGGTCCTCGGGTCCACAGGCCCTCGGGTCACGGGTCTACAGTTCCGCAGGTCCACAGTCCTATTACATGCATACATATACCGGCCAATTGAGACGGTTTGTGAAGGCCCTCAGTCCGACAGGTTTACAATTCTTTGGTAAGGTACGTTACATGGCCTGCCCCATTGGATTATGTGTTTTTTCTTTTCTCTTTTTTTTTCTTTTTTTTTCCGAAGCGATGGTGTTTAATATTTATGGAGACAAAAATATTGTATTTACACTTAGAGACTTGTTGGTTAAAGTATAAACCTGCAAACAGGTATCGTCAAAGGAATAAAAGTTCGAAATACGCAAGTTATTTGTGGTATGGATAAAATGCAATGGCCAGCCGGGCTTATCCTTGACAAAGAAAATTACGAGTAAAAAGTTTTGATAATGGCCGGGTCTTCAGTTTCTGTGAATCACATTGATTTTGTTTTCTGGGATACTATCATTTAATTGGTAAGAACTGTCGTAGATATCTTTTCTGGTGGTTTGTTGAATAATATTAGGCTGTAAGCCGTAGCACAGAATGCTTCATCACGCTATAAATAAATAAATCAGAGCAATTACAATTTCCTCAAATGTGATTGGGGCATAAACTGCTGTATTTTGCTTTAATTAATCTGCAAAGGTGTAATCAGACAGTTTGCTGCAATCGGACACCTGTAATCAGACATTTACATGAGCCAATCATTTTAAGTCCACTCCACTAAATGCACCAATCACAACATTGATTACAATCACAGTAGTAACTAATTCAAGAGACTGTAAAATTGTGGAGGTTTAGTCTCTGACGACTATTTTAGAAGAAACTTAACAGCCATTTTGTAAGCTATTTTCCATATTTCTAATTATGATTTTTAATGACTATTAAAAGCTTTTTATCAAATATGATTAATTGGTAACTGGACATCGTGTCGTCCAATTCACTCTGTAATCATACTTGTGACGCTTCGCGGTCGTCCGATTTTGTGAATCACTCTTTTGCTTACAGACCGAATTGGACTCCACTCAGTCCTATTACCATTATTAATTAACCTGTTCATCTCTGCTTGTTTCACTTCACCTCGCGCTGGTGTTCAGAATAAATCTTATGCGAGCGCGCGCAAATTTATTTTTTGACCAATCAGGAGCGACTTTAGCACGTCATGAATGCTAGCTTGCGCGCTATGACAGTTAAAGTTTTTTTCAATTTCGAAGTGAGAAATATTTCTTCGTGAATATTTACACCTAAAAAACAGATCTCAAAATGCAAAGACGAGATACCAAATGCGTTGAATAATACGGCGAACAGATTTCTTGAAATGCGACCAAAGGAACTATTGATGGTCTTACTGGCCGTCTTTAGTTTTCCTCATCCGCAGAAAGGTTTGAATAAGCTTCTTTCATTTTTCTTCAATGCACTGTTTTTTCAGTGTTTATTGCGCTGCGAATGTTTACAAACCACTGCGTTAATACCGCATTCTAGGTATAAATGCACAAGAGTATTATGATCTCTACTCGGACAATGTATTTTACCGAGGCATGCAAAGAGAAGCTCTGACCGGTAAGTGTTTTATATTGATTATCGCACTGAATGTGCTTTTCAAATACGTCTGTCTAATTTTCTTATCTCGTGGACTGTTCAGTTTTATCCCAAACACAGGCCACAGGGTACCCACAAACTTAAACGTAATCCGTGATTAAAGGATCCAAGTAGGTTATCCTGGGGGACTGATTTTTTTAAAAAGACAAAACAAAACACGCTTAAATCAACAAAGTCCTCCGCAATTTCGCGAATCGATTGAAACTGGAGCTTAAAATGTCATAAAAAAAATTGCGTATCTCAACTTGTTAATTTCAGGATCCTTGTCTCAGCTGTACTGAATGGAAACTTGTATTAAAAGCAAATACTTAGGCTTACAGTAATTAAATAAACCAACCTGACGCCAATGTACTTTTACAAGCTAACAAAAGGCACCGTAAAACTGTTATGTTTTTTTTTCTTTTAAATTATAGATCCCACTTCTTCAGGCTATCTCGCTAATACGACAGTCAACTATGACAGTCTTGTTGGTCATCGAGCATCTCCGACACCTATAAGAGTTCATATTGTGATAACGCTTGTGTTAATTCTTGCAGTCGTTCTTGTAATCGTTGTTTTCTGGCTAATACATCTCGTCCGTAAAAGGTAATCATAAGGAAATTTAGATACACCATTTTAGGACTCAATAGGCCATTTTACAGTTGTGTGCTCAGTGACCTGGCCCATGAAAAAAGCGGGGCTGGGGGTGTCTTTGCTTTGATGTAGACCTCTCTGCTTTTGTCAAGTAAATGCAACTAGTCAGCGTTAGAACAACTTGATTTACACAACAAAAGCGGTGAAGTCTGTATTAAAACTAGGTCACCTGCAGCCTTGCCGCCTTTTCAAAGGCCAGGTCACCGAGCGGACAACTGTAAAGCAGTTTAGTATATACCACACAAGTGAATAGTGCTTTTCGCGCGCTCTGACTGGTTAACTCGGAGGTGATTAGCAAGTACTATTTACCTAGCAGCCGGCACGAGAGATATTAAAATTTCCGACCGCTTGTCACACATAAAATAACGTTTTGGTCCGCTAATTATTCAGCTTGTGTGGTATATACTAAAACAATTATTCACCTCAGTGTCGGTGAGGTGTTCACCTCCACCTCGGTGAATAATTGTTAACTATTAGCAGATTTATCAGAGCAAATGCTGTCTTCAAGATATCACTTTGCCTTCTGCTTTTAGTTGGAAAGCTGCTAAGCAACATAACATAAACATATGTTGGCGTCGAAGTGTTCCGAATATTCGCTAGCGCTTTTTGATTGGATGAAAATTCTTGAAAAGAAAATTCAAGTTTGTCTCTGGCAGGGATAAGGTTAACCCATAAGGTTTTTTCAAATTGTTGAAAACACGATTTGCTCTAAGAGGTTGAAACTTTCAGTAGCTGTTCGTTCACCCTCCGCGGAAATTTTGATATGTTGTGTGTTCGTCATTTTTGACGTTACATGCCAACTGCAAATTTCGGGTAGGTTTTGCCAAAAATCAACATTTTTGACATAATTCTGTATTTTTTTCCAGTTTTCTTCATCAAATTGCAGAAATTCACGAATTTGCACATTTCATAAGCATTCTGATTTTATTTTGTATTAATTTCCGTTATTTCTTGACTATTTAAAGGAACTCAGTCACGGTATTTCGAGTTATTTTAGCCACATACAAATTACCTTTAAATGGTAGGAAACCTGAAAATAACAGTTTAATAAAATAGAAAAACACCAAAGACATAATGATAAACCATAGAGGAACAAGGATGGCTACGGATGGAGAAGATTGACACGGATTACAAACGACGAATTTGAAAAATTGAGGCTAAACTTTTCAATATGCGCCAACCGTGACTGAGGTCCTTTACTAGTGAAATCAAAGATGGGGGATCCAAGATGGCGGGTCAAATGACATCATTTGACGTCATATGACCTCAAAACCAACAAAAATCGTATCACCTTGTAGGGCAAGCCCAGGGCTATCTAATCTATGTAATTTTATTTCGCTCTGCCTTAGCAGAACGAAAACCCAGGGGAGGGGTTCCATCAACCCCTCTCCCCCCCCCTTAGGGCTTGCCACAAGTTGCTCGAGATTTCCCAAAAAGTTGCCCGCAATTTTTCATAAAGTTGCTGAAAAGTTGCTCCAAAAAAAGGCAAAAGTTGCTCAAAAGTTGCTAAAAAAGCAAAAACTTTTTTGTTTCTTTCTTCTTTTGTTTGGTCTGATGCAAAAATATGCAATCTGTGCAACAACAGTAACATTTCTAAGCATTTTTGTGCAGTTTTGCGTGGTAAGCAGCGTCGCTTAATAAATTTGTTCACAATACATATGAGTAAATACTACGCATCAACGTCAAATTTTTTTTTCAAATTTTTTAAACTTTTTTTAAAAATTTTAAAAACATTAAAGAAATTTACAAATTGTCTACTGAAATATTGTAAAATATGGAAGCATGACCAATTAAAACACTAAAAGCTGCTCCGATAACTAGAAATTACTCGTTATTATTATTATTTTTTTTTTTTGCTCTAAGCAAAAAAAGTTGCTCGAAATACGAAAAGTTGCCAACTTGTTGCCAACTTGTGGCAAGCCCTAACCGCTCCGCCCCCCCCCTGACTGGCACCACAGTGGGAGTAAGAGTTAGCTTTTAAGTCCGAGGAAAAATAATTGAGCTGTCAATTATATAAGAACCCAACATTTCTTGTTTTTTATTTTTCCATACAGACAGCGCTCATCGTTACGAAAAGAGTTTGCGATGACGTCGGAGGATGCACAACTTTCAAGTATGGCTTTAGGAGATGATCCCTACGAGTCCTTCTGTATCCCAGTGCCTGAGGACCATCGCCTCACACCTCAAATATCTTTGACGTCATCAGCAGGCCTGACCACTCACCTGTATCCTTAGAAGTAAGTCAATTGTTTGCGGGAATTTAACATCTGACCCTGTCACCGCAAGCTTTTCGGTCAGCGGCAAGTTGCCTTGCTAACAGAGAAAATCATACCCAGAACCTATGGGTTTATTCGATCAGAAACCCCGTAGAGTCCTGGAACGAGTATGCTGCAAACACTTCCGGCAGAACCAGTCTTCAGTCAACGATCGCGAGTTCTTCGGACCCACAATGCCACAGTGTATTGCTTGGCTGTTTAAATAAAGGTTGTTTACCATTTACCAATAAAAATCCGGAAATTTCGGATGGATGGAAGATTAATTTTATCTCCCCGAACGGAAATTTTCTCGGGCAAACGGGATTTCTTGAAAGGTAGACCAAAATTCCCAAACGGAATTTCCGAATGGAAAATGTGCGTTCCATGTGTTCCAGGCCTTTTGGCTTCGATTGCATTTGATCCTATGTTTCAGGAAAAAGTCGTGGAAATGGAACGAGCGCATCCCCGTGGAAATTCCCAGCCTTTCGGGATTTGTCGCTTCCCATTTACTACAACTGTCGACCAACCGGTTTTTCCGAATAAATGGAAAACAACCGTAATTTTTACAACTAGAGCTCGTATTTAACATGGGATCTCCTTTGAAGGCGCGCGGTGATCTCATGATTAGTGTGCTCGCCTCCAGATCGAGCGATTCGGGTTTGAGCCCATTGACATTGTTTTGAATTCTTGGGTAAGACACTACTCTTACAGTGCCTCCCTCCCTCCACTAGGTGTACAAATGGGTACTGGCGAGTTTAATGCTGGGATTTTACCCTGCGATCGATTAGCATCCCAACCAGGAGGGAGCAGAAATACTACTAGTCGCTTCATGCTGTGCAAACAGGAGATCAGCGCCGGCCTGATGAGCCACTTGGCTCATATACAGCCTTGTTTACCTACTTTTAAAATATTTTGAAGGAAATGGCTTCTTCAACACTGCCTTTTTGTCCTCTTTCAGTGATGACATGGAAATAGTTTGTTTCTTTTTTTGTTTGGCTTTTTTTGCAGATGCCTTGTTGTCAAACATTGAAGTGTCACTATCATTTTGGAAGGTTCAAACAAATTGCTGTAAATATGTCTTGGTAATAAACTATATATACCTTACTTGAAAGATTCGACGTCTTTTACCATTTCTCTATTTCGATGAGCGATAATTTGTTTGCAACATTTGGTTCATCAGCAAGCTAGTGACATATCAACGCTGAATATTGAACGCGCGTGGCACGATTTAAACTACCCCACGAAATTTGAGCTCCGAGTATTTAACAAAGATTAAGACATAGCTAACAAACCAGTGCTATCAAACTCATTATATGAAAGGCGTGTTGCGCTCTTCGGGTGTGAGCAAAGTTGACTTGGCTTCGCCAGAGAAAATTATTTCCATTGCCAATGCTATAAAACGGTTGATTCATGTTCTTAGCTGTGCATATTGAGTTATGATGCACTTGGGAAGTTTGAAGAGCACTCAAGAAGCTAGAGTTGCCTCGAGCGGCTGCGCCTCAACAACTCTTACTCTTCTTTCGTGCTGTACATCATAACTATACGACTGACTTGTTCTCAGTCGTCTCTTGCGTCTTATTTCGCGAAAGAGATGGAAACGAGTCAGGCGTAGCACGCAACGAATGGGACTACGAGAACGTGGCAAAGAGAAAGAGTCATTTTCCCTCGTTCCTCGGATCTCTCAAGGGAAGACTGGGAACGAGTCAGACGCGATGATGCACGCTGTCAAGTATGAAATATATGGGCTCATTGACGCTATTGCTTGTATTACTAAACTAAACTAAGCTATTACTAAACTGCGCTATTACTAAACTAAGCTTCACAAGCTCTTTACACGTTAATTCGTGCACATCATTAAGTCTTCCTTATCCAAAGTCGTATGCTGATGACATACAATTGTAAACAATGACGTCACCAAATATCGCGGATACAAATAACAATGCTCGACTGAAAAGAAGAACATATTCACTTCAGCATAGACAAGGAAGTCATATTGGATTACATAAAAAGAGCTTAAGCGAATCACGACGGCAACGACGAGAACGCCACCAAACAAAAAGTTTTAAATCTTTATAAATTGTTATAAATCGTTATAAATCTTTGTACATTTCTTTCTCGAACTCATTGATTCAAGTTAAAACAAAGAAAACCACAACCGCGAAGGAGGTTTGGGTACCCGGTCTAAATAAGCATAGATTTTGACGATTTTACTTCTCCGTTTATTCCAGTTTTTGTTTCGACTGAGAAGATATATCAAACACTCGAGACAGTGTTTCATCGGCTATCCAAATACCTCGAATTTCGTCAAAAATACTCCGCTGCGTTTCGTATTTTCAACTCTCGCCTCTGTGTTTGTATATCCTGATGAAACACTGTCTCTCATGTTTGATATATTCCTTGCGGTCCTCTGCAAACCAACCAGGTGAAATGACTAAGTCCTGCGTACTTTAGAGAACGTGAACGACGGCTGCTAATTTTTCGTATTTTCATTTGGAATTGAACGCTGGCGTAACTTATCTAGCTTCAGCAAGTTCTGACACCAATAGGCACGCTGAACAGATCTAGACAATTGCGAAATTCAGAGGTAAAATATAAATCCATTTTTAACAAGGCGTTGATTTGGGGGTCGCCGTCGTCATTGCTTTTAAAAGGAAAGCCAATATAAACCTGAATACTGAAGAAGTGAGCAATGAAGGTACGCACGCGGACGCTCGGACACGCGCGAACGGCATGCACCAACGGCACGCACGCATGCACAAATGAAAACGACAGTGCTCCCGGGCAAATTTCACTCGACACTTGACAAGGTAATAGATCTCTTTTATTGCATAAAGCCTGACGTAAAGCCATCATTATCTTGTACATCACATCAGGGTTAACATATATATTTCATCTCAGTTATTCAACCTTCATAATTTCGTCTCTTTATGTACATCCTTTTCTCATGAGGAAAAATCTCAGCCTGCTTGTGGCAATTTCAAAATTACTTCCCCATATGCGAATAAAATCGCCTTAATTCAATTTGAATATACTGTAATAGCTGAGCTTCAGTACAGAGAAATCATTACAATTATTCGTGAACACATTGAGATGCAGTCTGTAGTGTTTGACTGATCATTGACTGGTATGCATTAGCAACTCATTAGATACCAAGATATTATTTTTTTACTGACGTATCATCTAAGATTTGCTCCAAGAGCTGTCTTTAGAAGCCTTTCACGCCCAGCATAAAGCCCAATTTACACGGTTCAAACTTTGTGGAGGAAACCCTAGTGTGTGACCATTCAAATCGAAGCTACTGAGCGTGCGGTAATGTTTTCTTTTTCTACTATCAACTTTGCCACTTTCGGGAGTGAAAGGATTAAAGGCATCTTGTCATAAATCAACTGAAGTACTCGAGTAACTATGTGACAACTTTACACTGGTTTCCCCAAACCTCTCGTCCAATCATAGAGCAAGGAAATGCACACACATTTTAGCCGAATGTCTTTCTCGCCTCCGCTGATAAGAAAACCAACTTAAAGTTGTCACTAGTCAATCAAAAGGATATTGCGTGAGAAAAGTCACGGGTTCATCTGAAGATGCAAATGTAATCGAAATATTTTGTAGTTCTGACGAGAACGAAGGTATTCTTACATTTACGTTTAAAACAAACAGCGAAGCTTCCTTACACAAGAACAATAACGAGCTCGTTCAAAACTTAGAACATAAAAAAAACTTTTATAGGGAAAACTAAGTGAATACTTAAAAAAAGAAAACAGCACAGCCATCTTCAAAAGTCAACTCATCCGCTCAGCAGATTCACAATAAAAACCTTTGAGATACAGAAATAAATTACACGAGAAATAAATACAAATGAATGGGGGAAAACAGTTTTGTAACATCACTGAAAAAAGTAAAATTTTCATCGATTTTACATGTAAAAACATATGCGAACACCAACTAAAAAAAAATCAACTTCGAATTTTAGAAAAATAAACTTCTAAAATCGTCAGCAATCATCGCAATTATATCACAATCATTTGTCATTCATTTAAACTATAAAAATATTCAAATTAGATTGGAAAATTCTAACCAAATATTAACTGCACCGCACTTTCTGTCCCAATTGACAATTTTGTACCGAAATTTTGACAAAAAATTAAAACTATGTTGTCTATTTTGGTGAGACAAATTCAATTCACCGCAGCTTCAAACGTCCATAATATGTCTATGTACGTCAAATGACTGCAAACATTTACCGTAGTTAAGAATTAAAATTCAAAATTGTATTATTCTAAAACCTCTATCAGGACTCGTCCACACTACGCCGAAGGAATTTTAAAACGAAGGTTTCACCCTGGAAACGCATCAAATGTTTTCCGTCCACACTACGCCGGAGTAAATTAAACATGCAACTATCTCCGGTCGTTTTGGATTTGTGCTTGAGGAAAACTCGGTCAAAGAAATCACATGATTACCGTAATGCCATCGTTTTCGAAAAGCTTCGTTTTCAAAAAGTTTTCCGTCCACACGAAAACGAAAAGCCGACGTTTTCAAATTCCTGCAGTTTGAAGAGCTTTTTTGAAAAGCTCCGTTTTCGTGGCGGATTAGTGTGGACGGTAGGCCTAACCGTAGAAATAAAAATGCGTTTTCATACTCCTCCGGCATAACGTGGACGCTGCCTCAGGCTTCATTTGCCTTGAAATCCACAGGAAACCCTGAAACGTTCGTGGAACACATCTTCTCTGTCCTCTTTCATACATACCAAGAGTGCATGACTTCAGAGAGTGCTTCCATTTTGAGCTATTGTTAGATTCGTTGATACATTACAAGTGCGCTGAGAGGCGCTTTCGCAGCTTCAGGCAGTGGCACTGTATGAACAAATAGGAGCAGGGGCGTAGCTAGGGGGGTCCTGGGGTGCCCGTGGACCCTCCCCCCCCCCAATTTTGTAAGCCTTTTTTAAGCAAACAATTTACAACGGGTGGCGAATACGACATGACAATCTGGTGAGTACCCTAATTTTGACACTGTGACCACCCCCCTCCCCTTTGAAAAATCCTGGCTACGCCCCTGAGGAGACTAAAGAAATGCGCCTCCGGGAAATTTTTCATATCTCACTAAAGATTCTTTGGCATGTATTTTTTGGCATGTATTTCCTTTCTTGACGCGTTTGAGATTTCTCACGCTGTTTCAAAGCAGTTCAAATTTTGCCGATTCAAAGAAATTCCTATTGCTTTTCAACAATCCTCTCTAAAACAGACCAACAGCTTTCTTGAGATTGACTTGCTTCCAGCCTGGAAGTTTGTTAAATGCTTCTTTTTCCATCTTGAAAATCTCCTAGAAGCAGAACCAAGAAGAAATGTGTTTCACTATCCAAACATTTCCAAAACTGGATCTGAACAGCATTGCCCAGTTACAATTTAATTTTATTCTACATGATTTCAGAAGGTTAACAAGAGCATTTCAAAATTCACTGATTCCTCATCAGCAGGGCTAACAATATAAGGGTTTTGGATGCTAACGTTATTCAAAAGAATCTGTTTTAGCGTGATTCAACGAAAATTTAAGACTTACCCTAATTTCCCAAATGGATCTATTTTACCATTCGCCCGTTTGTTTTGTTTCTTGCAAAACAATGCCTTTTTGTCTAGGCTAAAATAATTACACTGACTGCTAAGGAGATTCATTTCTAAATCTAGTCTTACCTTGAAGTCGCTGTCGCTTAAATAATTCTCTAGTTTTGCAGGATCTACTCCTTGGGGAGGAGGAATCTTCTGGAGCTCAGCCAGTGTGTAAAAATCCCTTTGAAAGGAAGTTTAAAAATTTAGTTTCCTCGTTCCCTTGTCTTGTCAGTAGCAAGTGCTTGTATTAGAACGAAAGAGGCAAAAGAAACGAAATGTTTCGAAGCGATAAAACAAGATGACTTACTTTGTGAACTGTTGGAGCAAGTCGCTGGCAGAGTGTTTCACATTCGGTTGTTTTCCATCCTGAAGAAGTGACAGTGAGAAATTATGAACAGATGATAAAAGAGAAATTACAACAACCGCATTGCAGTACGAACAAAGACGCATTTAACAGGCGAGAAAAACCTCTTTTAATTTAAAGATGAATTATTCATGAAATAGGTACCAAAAAATAAATAAATGCACGTCTTCTTCAGAAGCTAAGAGGCAACTTTGATGTATTTTGCTTAGAGAGTTACTGTCCTCTCCCCTGGATGGGATGCTAGTCCATCGCAAATTCCATTCCCTCCTCCCACCCGTAAAGTTCTCGCCTGGGGGAGAGGTATTGTGTGAGATGCTTCTCAAGAAGACGTGAACGAGCGAACGAGCGAGCGCAAAAGCGAACGAGCGAATGAGCGAACGAGAGAACGAGCGAACGAGAAAACAATGGATATTGAAGTGGACTGCACATGGGTTTCTTAAACATGACACGATGGCACACTTCAATTTTTCTTTTCTATTCTCACATTCCATTCTCTAATGCCAATCAAATCAAGTGTACAAACCGCTTTCTGTATTCTGATGACATCTGGTGTGTCATTCCAATAAGGAAAGAGAGCCTTGAACGTCATTGGTTCCATGCCAGCATACACCACGTACACACGGTGGGAGACCCGCTTACCAGCCTCTGCGGAATCAAAACAAAACCAATGAGAGATCTGTTTACAATTATTTCATCAGTTTATAGATGGTGTCACTTTTGCTGAGGAGTTTCTGCCTTGTTTGAACATTAAATGAGCTAAAATGTGTTAGTGTACGGCGGAAATATGTTGGGATCTTCCTCGGCAGTCTTCTATCCTCGGAAATGCTCGGAAAAGTTTGCATAACTTGGAGTCAGTATTCGGAGATTATGCGGTGAGTGATCGGAAATCTTCGGGTAATCGTCAGAACCTCTTTGGTAGCGTGTTGGAGCTCTTCATGTGGCAAACCCAAATTGAACATTCAAAGAGACATTTCCCATCTATTCTATAGTGGATACTTCCACAGCAATACGTCTGAAATAAAAGATGCTTGTCATCATTCCATTTTTACCAAGACCCAAACCTTTTGCATAGTTAAGTGCTGTTTCCATGGCGAGTTTTCTGTCCCGGTCCCAGCGCTGTCTTCCTGAGCCAGTCCGCGCATCATCATCGTCCTCAGCCATCCATCCTTCCCACACGTACACTTCATAATAGCCATCAACTATGAACAGCGCTGTAAACAATCAACAAATTACACTTGAACCTCTCTATTTCCAACTCTCAGGGGAAACAGAAAATGGTTCGAAATAACTGATAGTAAATAACTGAAGGGCAAATCCGAGGGAAACGGTTTTGATTTCGAAATAACGAGGAATTCGCAATAACCGAGTTCGAATTAAAAAAGCAAAAAAAACAAAAAGAAAGAAAGAAAGAAAGAAAAACCTGATGGGCAAATAAGAGTAGATGAAAACAGAGCTCAGCTCAGACAATTCAAACAGATAGATGGATTATGTTATAGGTGTACCTGGTTGTTTAGCAGTGTAAAGATCTTCTTGTAGAAATGGGAAGGGGCATAACTTTGGCTCAGACCGTGCTGGACACAGCACTTCACTGGCCGTGAACTTTCCCGTAGCACTGCTCAGCTCAAACAGCCGCGGCTGATAGTTGTGTTTGGAGGGATCTAGGAAAAAGAAAAAAGAAAACGCTTTTTCTGTGGAAAGTATGTGGACGAGACTCGCGGCTGTCAATGGCATTCAAATAAAAGCTATTGGGCAGTACTTTCATGTGGTACTGTTTATTCTGCTGCACAAGGTAATTCTAACTTTTAAATCCTAGTAGTTGACCATTCAAATGAAAGCTAGTGAGCAGTACTTTCATGTGGTACTGTTTATAACTCTGTGAATGAAGCCCTAGTGTGTGACCATTCAAATGAAAGCTATTGAGCAGTACTTTCATGTAGTACTGTTTATAACCCTGTGAATGAAACTGTAGTGTGACCATTCAAATAAAAGCAATTGAGTGGTACTTTGTGACACGGCCTTTTATTTTGTCAATAGTGACTCTTACTTACGTTAGTGCATGTGGATTCTTGAACTTACCATGTGCCAAACTACAGTAAAATCTTTTTCCTCCAATAGCCTTCCAGAACTCATCAGGTTCACTTCCTTCCTCAACTTCGCTAAGAGAGAAAGCTGTCACTCCAGCCATGTTGCATTCAATGCTTTTTCTGGAAAGAAAGACAAAAAAAAATGGCATTTGTTGATTTGTATTTACAACGGTTGATAATGTGTCAGTCGCACCGTTGTGACAAGCAAAACTGCCATCTGTTTAGAAACTCAGAGACGACATACAACTATGTGCGGCTGCCTTCCAGACATTTCGGGCTTAGATGTGTGTTTGCCTCACAGAAGTGTCTGCTATAGATTTATGTCTGTTCTACGTGGAGAGGTGCATGTTTTATGGAGGTGTCTGTCTTAGACATATGTCCAGCTTAGAGATGTGGCTACCTTAAAACGAGACGTCTATCTGGCTAAGAGGGGTGTCTGTCTTTTAGACCTTGCCTTAGAACAACCGTCTATTCTATACCACGGAACATTGTCTGTTAGAGAGGAGCTAACATAACCACTAACAAACCTTTCTTGCATTTTCTTGGCAGCTGCTTTAGCCGTGGCACGAGAATCCTCACTGGATTTGCTGCCATGCCACAAAAAGATGTGAGCTTCACCGCGTGACACCAGAACAAAACTGGTTCGTGACCGCAACGAGTAAGAGCTAAAACACAGCAAATATTGACATCATTTCATGAAATAAAACGAAACTATCAGCAAGATAGTGTGTAAATAAACTGCGAGCAGTCTCTCTTTTACTCGAAAATCCGTGGGGAAGAACGCAAAGAATGCAAGCGGTCGTGAGCGTGCGAGCATGACATGCGAAGACGCGAGGCGCGCAGGTCACACTCGCAGTCACGCTCGCTCACTTGTTTTGCGTTCTTCCCCACGGATTTTTGAGCAAAAGAGAGACTGCTCGCAGACTAGTGTGTAAACGATAACACCATTGAAAAAGTAGCCTACTGTAGTTGAACAAAGATAAACTGAACTTCATTGCAAATAAAAATCACGATGACACTTGGAAACATGTCTCGAGGTAGTGTATCTGGATAACCCAATACATCAAAACACATCATGAACTTCAATACAATTTTTTTCTTCTAAAAAGCTTTCTTTGCAAATATGGGATGCGCAGTTTTGATTTTAAAGTTTGTCTAAAATTTGACTCCACTTGTAGTGGGTTTCTGTCATTTGTTGTTCTACAAAATCTATCCATCCACGTCGGGTTTCCATTTGATCTGATCTGTCGACTAACATTTCCGTTTCTTTTCCACTCTAACTCTCCTCGAAACGTTCAAAAATTTCTTTGATTTTTAATTATACAGATCACCGTACCCAAATTATCAATTAGCCAATCAGAAGCCATGTCTACTGTCCTGATATCCTACGATATCAAGTCGCTGACCTGATATGGCTACGATATCACGCTCACTTCCAATGTTGGCTGTCGGAATTTTGGTCTCGCCATGGGTATTTTGGCTCAACTACGTCTCACCAAAATTCGAACCACGGCTCCACCAAACTCGCCTGATATGCCGCCGAAGCGTACCAAAACGGTACGATTAGGTCTAAATACTGCTATCTAGGTTTATGGTCTGTGACAGACAAGAGTTCTGGTAAAATGCAAGAAATTCTGTACTGAAACTAACTACAATTACATTGAAAGATCCACATGACCCAACTCCAAGTAGCGTCAAGATACATTGTAATTAGTAGAACTTACTTTGCTTTGACTTGATTCAAGCAGGCTTCTCCTGGTTCCTCATTGCGGATTACGTACAAACGAGTTTCCGAAGTGTCTGTCGGATAGATAAGCTAAGATAAGGTTTCTCTTTGAGACTATTACAACAAGCATTTAGTAAAAATCTGCTGTGGGCTACGGAGGGTCCATAAGTTTGAGTGGTGGCAATTTGATGTTTACTGACGGTGGGACAGTGCTTGGGATCACGGTCGTATTTTCATTCGGGTATAAAGTTCCTTCTCTCGATTTACCACAAGTGGAATGCATGCATGCATGACTGGCTGTCATAAATAAAGGTATTCCTCGTCAACTCTTCAGTTATGAAAAACACCGACAATAAGTTCTGTGATGTGAAGTTTATATGAAATAATTCATATATGAACTGCGGTAGTAGATGAAAGTGAAGAATGATCATCGCAGTTAATTTTCCAATTTAAGCAATTNCCCGCTGAAACCCTGATTTTTTCAGGCTTCTTCTTTCCAATTGCTTAAATTGGAAAATTAACTGCGATGATCATTCTTCACTTTCTTTTAATAAGTTCTGTATTGGGTGGGAAATACTGGAACAGTCTACAACACACAGGTTAAATATTATGCGTAGCACCTACCAGAGAACGTTGCTGTATTTTCATCTATCATATTTTTCCTATTGAGCAATACATAAAATATAATATTAAAAATCACTACTTAAATTTGTTTATCCCTTACCACCTCCAAACTGACAAGCATCGACACCACACTGCAGTCAACCCCCTCTAAAGTATATAAGGGGTTCTCATTAAAGAGGTCTCTACAATGAACAGATGCCCCAAAGGTATTTTAGAAGTGTCTACCTTAGAGTTGCCCAGCTTGAGGTGTCTGTCCATGAGAGGTACCAACTTTAGACAGGTGTCTGTCTGAGACAGCTGCACATCTTTACGAAGCAATGTCCTCAACAGATGTGTACATCTTAAATTGAAGTCAGCTTTCAAGGGCGATAATGGTTGGAGGTAATGTGATTGGAGCCGAGTGAAGAGGCACAGCAAGGAACAACTTGAAAACTGTTTTTATTACAGTATCCACTGGGAGGGAGTTGACTGCACAAACACTTTTACAAACGAGGAGAGCAGATGAACTTCATGTACTGTGCAAGTGAAAATGGCAATTGACAACGAAACTGACTATGACAAGGGAGATGAAACATTGAAACTTAACAAGTGGATTTTACATTTAGCGTTAATTTACTTTTAATCGCCACAATGTTATCATGTAATTAGCACGACAATGTTGGTTTATTTTGCTATTATTTATGAAACATTACTACTCCTGGTTGAAATTTGGATTTACAATCTTTTTAAGTTACGACATTTTACATGGCTATGGTGACCAGTGTACAGAAATTGAAATTAAGCCCCACATTGAAAACTATTCCCATCAGTTTGACGATAAATAACGTCAGATTGCTCGTCTACAATGGCCGTCCAGGTGAGGGTAATCCTGTAAAGGATACACTGCGAGCAGTCTCTCTTTTCCTGGAAAACCGTGCTCACTTGTTTTGCGTTCTTCCCCACGGATTTTTGAGGAGAAGAGAGCCTGCTCGCAGTCTGTGTAAAAGACTGCTGTTAGAGACTGAGATTTGGCCAACCTTGCCTGAACTCACCGTCACAGTCAAGTCAAACGTTTTTTTGTTTTGTTTTGTTTTGTTTTGTTTTTTCAGTACATGATTATGAAGCCTTATGAGATTGATTGCACGGTAAAGCTCGTAAACAGTCGTTGGTCAATTCAGTTGACGGTGTCATTCTGTCTATTCTTACTGTTCTGTTTCTGTTTGCCGAGGTCATGAAAAGCTCCTTTGTAAGGTGCTGGTAGTTGCTGGCAGCGGTTGTGTGCTGCTTGTTCTAAGTTAGTTTGTTGTACAGTTCTGAGTTGGCGTTTGCCCCCGACTACACTCCATTTCAGGCCACAGTAGTTCGAAGGGTGTATAACACTATCTAACAGATAAATCGCCATCCACTTGATAGCATAGCATGTTTTGCTAACGCTTGTCCATTGGTCATTGATCAATTTATCCAGTGGATAGCCTCTGAACAACTGGCCCCAGGACTATCTATCATCACGCGAACGACCAAAGTAACAGCAGATGAATTATTAATACTCCTGATAAGTACAACAATAAAAGTATCACATTATCGGAAAGGGAAATAATCGGCCTTCACAGATCAAGAAAACTCTGATTTCTTATTACAACATAATCTAGACATTTTTTTTTTTACTTCACTGCAACACTCCACAGTGTTAATTATTAACCATATCAATTGATTTGATTGTCATTATTTTAAATGACTTACGTGAAAGGATTTAGTTACAATGTCATTACTTTAATGTTACGAGGCTTACGATATATTTTAATTTAATCTAAATTTTAACTTTATGCTATCAATTTTTAACTTAACAATTCTGTTTTACATTTAATTTTAATTTAACTTTTATCGTTCTACAATATACTAACATAAAGCTTTAGTCAAGGTAGATCTTCTCTTTGAGAAAATTATTCACATCAAATTGCCCCCTAAAAAGTATTGTCAGAAAACCAGAATTAAACTTACTTTTGTGTGTCATACCAGTTCCTGGGTACACTGTTAATGAAAGAATTAGCGAGGTGAACTTTCACATGACAACAAAGGTTTAAAAAAACCTGGAAATTAATGAAGCCACAATTTTGACTGCCATTCACAAAATTTCGATGTTTTTGATTAACTTTTAAAAACTGTTTACAAAATTCTGTTTCATGCATATTATGAGTTTTTTTTAACAAAAAAAGGGCAGTAATTTATTTAGCATGAGAAAACAACATCTCTCGTTATCGTTTACTGATTTCTTGGCTTCTCAGCTAAAGAGAGATGAAAATGGAGCTGAAAAATTCCATGTTGATGAAGGAGCTCTTTAGAGATCTGAGCCCTGTTCTGTTTGGTTAATGTTTGATTCAGGATTTTAAGGTACATAATGATTCCATTTAGCGCCCTCCTTCCAATAAGCGTCCCTTTTCAAATACGTACTCCCAATTGAGCGCTATTTTTCGATGAGCACCCCTATTCCAATAAGCCCCCGTCCGATAAGCGCCCCTTCCAATAAGCGTCCCCTTTCAAATACGCACTCCCAATTGAGCGCCCCTATTCCAATAAGCCCCCGTCTAATACGCGCCCCTTCCAATAAGCGTCCCATAGTGAAAGTAACATTCCAGAAATTGAGATACTGTACCGCTCAGAGATATAAAGCGAGCCATCAACTGTAGAATAGACTGGTTCTAAAGACGCATGAATTATGAAGTCTGCTTTCTCATCTGAACGTAACACTGAACATTATGACTACAATCTATCAGAACCCCTATTGATACAGGTCTAGAGTTTAAGGACGTCACTTAAAAAATAGTATCCTACGACATTCAGATGCATACAATGCGTGTTCAACAATTAGCGCCCATCGCTAATAAGCAATCCCTTTCTACTAAGCCCCCTCCTTAGCTTTGCGCTACCAAAAGTAAATTAGTGCCCTTGGCGCTAAATTGAATCATTATGGTAAATGGTATCCAGTTAGAGGTACTTCAGTGGACAGATCTCTGTATTACCAGAATAGAATTTTTATTTTCAATCTCTGAAGGACATCTCCTTCACAAGAATGGAACTCAACAAGAGTTGAGAGATGCTTGTTTTCCCCGGCTATTTGTTAAATCACTGTTGTACAAATGATGATCTCAACATACAAGTGTACATATGAAATAAATGTCTGAAGGTTTCTGTGATGTCTCTCAAAGAGGGCTTTTATGCACATATGTAAAATGGCATGTTTCTCAATGAATTGACACATGCAAATGTTGTTTGTGTGACGCTGAAGAACATCCAAGATGAACCTTCCAATACGTGTGAAATCTGACTCTCAAAATTGACATCAAATGCCGTGCATTATGTTTATACTATTTGAAATAACACATCAAAACGTCTTCTTCAAGACTATCACAAGCTGCAGGTATTGCTTAAGGTCTTGATAACTATCTAAAAGATATCATACTACATTGAATAAACTTTTATAAGCTATAACCTTTACGACACTGCCTGTGAAATAATTGTAACATCGATATCCCAGGCTTTGTAAAAGCCTTTGCTTCAAAGCAAAGGTTCCATGTGCAGCAATTGCAGTGATATCACCTAAGAACTACAAGTTGCGTTGCAAATTGATGGCTTCTATAGGGTCATGCAAAGACATGATATCACAATTTAATTATGTCTAATCATGCAATTCATGATGACGAAAATCTACTCATGCAATAAGACTAACCGTGAGAATGGAATCTGGCTTGTACTTATCTAGCTGGAATGCCTCGACCACAAATTTCTCTTATTATTAATAAACAAACTAAATTGACTGTGAAAAAGTTATTGCCATGTACCTTCCGCTGTGAATGATCATTCCTCCTTTGAAAAGATTCAGAAAGACAGGCGTCTCCTTTCCTTGGACCACCCTTACCTGAACGAACAAGTAAATGAACCAAAACACAAATAAAACACTCAGAAACGTAGACTAAATTGAGTACCAAGAACAGAAGAATTGATGCTGAGACTCCAATTTGAAATGTTTCTTCAGGACCATGAAACAGGCATTCGGTATAATACAGCTGAACTACAGAATCATTTCAACTGGATTCACACCAGGCACCTGGAGTTGTAGAAGGCCTATGAAAAAATTGAGGAACTGAAATTGCTAACACAGACCTGTGGCCCTTTCTCCTCATCCAGCTCCACAGCCATTATGGCAGCTGCACCTTTCTCATTCACTGAACAGTCATTCCCTTGCCAGAAAAAGTAAGCACAGCGTACACGCCCTGCAACAGTTGAGCGACAACGCGACTTTCGGTCCTTTACTATTCTATCAGCAAGTACAAAGTAGGCCCAACGGATGACATATCCCTCTCCTGCAATAGGACAAGAACAGCTCTATGTAAACAAGTAAGTGTCAAAGATCCTATCCCTGGTGGCCTTTGTTCCGGCATCGTTTGTAAATTTTCTTGTGCAGGCTCTAGTGCCTGCTATACCAGTAAAACTACCCGATATTATTTTCTCAACATGCGTCTGGGAACACCTAACTATGGACAAGAGCTCACACATTGATAAATATCTGCATCTGCCGTGCCTGAAGTTTCAGTGATTGCTTTCTCGCAATTGATCAAGCCAGCACTACATTCCTGCTCAAGATAACAGAAGCTTTGTACATCCTATGGGAAAACACGTCTTTTAATCAACATCTTCAACATGTTAATTTAAGTCTCTCTTTGTAATTTGCACGTTTTTTTTTTTTCTTATTTGTATACATGCTCATTAGCATGTACTAGTTATTTATATTCAGTTTGCATCTTCTGTAATATTTGCACTGAAAAAAGCAGACATTTCAGCGGAAACATGTCTGTGAAACTCAAAATTGTTGTTATATAATTATGACACTTGAATTCTGAATAAGAGCATCAGATCTATCATGAAAAAAAATTAAATACGCCATTTTTTAAAATACCCGAATGAAAATGTCCAATGTTTGCAGGTGGTAACTCAAAATGTCTGTACTCATTGATGTGCCACACCGTCAAAGCAACAGTTGTCACCAGGTTTCCTTCTTTGTAGATATCACCAACCCACACTGTTGGCACACCATTGCCGCGCCCAACATTCACCCCCTCAAAGATTTGGCTCTGGAGAGGTCCAGGACTCTTCAGCATGCTCTTGGGATCAATGGGCTTCAGTTCCACGGGAGGAGGCTAAGAGTCACAACAGAAACTCAAGTGAATACTTCATAACCATTTTCCACGTTGTAAACAAGTCTTCACTTCACCCTGTCTAGTTTTACTGCTTCTCTTGTCAGTAACAGAGAAATATTGATTATCAAAAGTTAACTTCAGTATACATGTAGTCCATTTCTCAACGTTTTTTTTGGAGAAATGGCCTATCAAGTGCCAAGATAAGACTCGCAAAATTATGTAGTGATACATGTACTTGAATGATGAATACATGTAATAGCTGCATAGAGCAGTTTTCAGTTAAGTGAAGAAAGTAATGAGACAATTTCTTCGAAATGGTTTTACTACGGTTTGAGATTGACTGAGAAGTCTAATTGATGAGTAATTGGTTTGAATTGAAAACCGCTCTACTACTTCTGACTACCAAACAATCTACTTATCGTCTACCAGCGACCGTGTTGACTTAGTCTCTTAGATGATTGTGACAAATGACATCAACTGAAATTCAAGAGATCCTGGTTAATAATTTTACTGTACATACTGCAGGTGCCAACTCAAGGGTACTAGGATGTCCTTTCATTCTGATAATCTTGGTTGGATCTGGCCAATCAAGGAATTTCTCACGGAACAAAATCGTCTCTGCCTTTTCATGGAGTCTTGCGAACAATGTCCATGATGGTCTTCCAGATGAAACTTTGTTATCGACTTGGTCATTGCAGCTGTCAGATTTACCATAAGGAAAAATTGGATCGTAATTTTTGCCATATGGTTTAAACGGTTCTTCGTAGAGTTGCTGCGCCAGTGCAAAGGCAGACTTTCTTTGGCCTGACAATGACTGCTGGCCATTCCACACATACAGCTCTGATCCAAAGTCAAATATCAAAACCTGAGAAGACACAGTGCAAGAACAAATTTAAAATGAGTGGACAGAAGACTTCTAGAGTGCTTTCCATCACAACAAAAATTGTGCAAAATTTTGGACAGAAGCCATGTGGGAAGGCCTGTTGCGGTTTGTTCCACCCAGAATATTAGGGACCACGTACCTTTGGAGGTGGTCCACTTTGATCAACTGGACCGGTCAAACTGAAATTTGTCATTCTATTTTGACAAACCGGCTCATTGCCCTTCTTCTCTTCAGTCGAGTTCACTGAAGTGGTGGATTCGGGAAGGGAATAGAACATGGTAAGAGTCATTCCTCGTGGTTGGCCTGGTTTGATCATTCCATTCTCCTCAGTTAGACCCACAGGTCTCTGACTGGTCAGTCTGGCATAATGGAAAGCACCCTAAACACAGCTGAACCCCTCCCCCATTTATGGAAACCAGTTCTTCAGTTTATGACGACTTTAGTTAACCGAACACTTGGCTGTGGTCATATCCGCATAACATAGGCTACATTTTTAACCTCCTGTGGGTGGATCAACTCTCTTAGAAGACAATTTCAGGTCCCTAAGGTGTCTGCTTCCCAATGAGCGGACCACACAAACAATTTATTCTACCTGATGTGAGCCAAAACCAACTGATCATGAGTTGGTTCGCATTAATTTTCCCACATTTGACACCAATTAATTCATTAATTCATTCATTAACACATTTTTACATTAATTCACTTCAGCTCTGACTACATGTAGTTCATCATACACAAATGCTTTTTGTTGTGATTGGCAACAAGCAGTGGCTGTTGGGTCACGTTTTACAGCTCTAGAATATGTTCAAGGTTCTAATCTTAACTGAATGAATATTTTTCTCTTCACCTCCTTAGTGTCAAAAATAGACACTTGAGGAATGTGGCCACACATGCTCTCAACTGGCATCAGAGTTGGCGGCTCTGTCCAATGGATCTTGTACACCATGTTCCCTTTCACAACACCTTTCTCGTACTCTTCATCTTTTGCCATTGATTGAGCATCTAAAAAAAGACAACTCAAAATTAAGGCTAAGCTCCACCAAAGGTGGTTGTCTGTTAACATGGCTATCAGACCAATAAATGTACATGTACCCTGTTGTTATGATGTGCTTGAAAATAATTACATAAATTAGGTGGCCTTTAAACCTTTACTCTTAAGAGTGCCATTTGGCAAACAACAACATAACTTTGTGAATATTTGAGACTAAGACCTTCTAAATAAGCCTATGCACTAAGACCTCCATGTACTAAATAAGCTATAGTTCAGGTTTATGCCTATGATATTTGAGAATTGATACGTGTTAGAAGCTTTTTAGTTTCACATTTTAAAGCAATTTCTCTCAAATGACTCCCTCCTTCATAGCTGCTGATGTCATTTCATAAATAAGCTGATCCTGATGATCTGTGGCTTTCAAATGGTATATTGTACACAGGCAGAGAGTCTTGATTTGCTGATTTACGGAAAAACTGCTGTTTGCCTTAGGGAGTAAAGGGTTAATGAATGAAACTGTAATTAAGACCAATTGAGACAAAACAACAGGAGATAGCTTTGCAAGGGGACTACAGCTGTGTGCATAGTGGTGTATAAACACTGGAGTAGAAAAGAGAACACAAACAAGGAGAAAAGTCTTAGGAGAGCTGATTATGAACAGCGGGAGGACAATACAGAGATGAAAGCAGATGATATCATTGTCGGCACAGATTTAAATATCATAACAAAAATTGCCAAAAATATTAGCCAACCTCGAATAGGATTGCTGCCTAGATCACCACTCAGAATGCTTGCAAACTTGTCCAGAGCAGCATTGTAGTCCATGTCTCCTTCTTCAATTGTCACAATGTCTCTGGCTTTACAGTCCAACTCACTCTTGGTTTTGATTTTGGAGACAATCTCTGTCACCTGTGAAAAAGGTCAGCAAAATTGTGATCAACAAATACTTTTTTGTCTGACTTGCAATTTCAATACAATGTCACTTAGACTGGTGAGGAGGGAGATTTAAAAAAATCCACTGCACTTAGTGGAGTACTTATTGTCTTGATGTACTACCAAATTCTCAGTACTATCCTCTATTATTTAAAACTGGATCATTGGATAATGTAATTCAAGAGTTTTCATCAGCTTAGCCATCATGGGTTATGAGCCATTATACCATGCTCTACAAAATTGATAAGGTAAGCATATGCATGATTGTTTTTGGTGTTTTTATTCTCATGTTATTTTAGCTTTCTATATTTTGGGGGTATTTTTAATGAAACAATTATTCCACTCATGCTTGTTGGATACGAGATGATTAGAACCAACTCAGTACTCTGTGCCTTGTTGCCTATTTACAATCTCATGTCCAATGCGTGCTCGTGGAATAATTGTTAAATACCACATAAAATTTCCAGCAATTAGTAAAGAGGTCAAGAGTACATGTAATTAGTGAAATCATAACATCCACTTTTAATTTTCCAGGAATTTTTATGACATCTTCAAAATCACACACATCAAGTTACAGAAAATATGGTTAGTTATATTCATGGCAAGTTAATAAATGAATGCAATGTACTTACGGTAAACATGTTTTACTAACCTTAGCCTTTTCATAAGGATTGCAGTCTTTTCCAATCCAAGCAAACAGATCTTTCTCTGAGACCAGAGCAAAACAGTCTCCAGAATTCAGTGACTTCAGACTTGGTTCAACAAGGCGAACCTGAAGATGACGACGGCCTAGATAATAACAAAACAAGTTTTATAATACAAGATGATGAAATGAAAACACATGCAGCATTGGCCAAGTGTTTGCATCGTTTGTGTCATGTTCTCACACTAGTCACTCTTCTTCACAGGGCCTCTCTCTGCCCAGGAAAACACTTTTTCCATTTGTATGGAAATTAAAATTGCATGTTTTCATTTACCTTTTATGTGAATAAGCATGATGGGTTTTGTTCCTCTGTACTCATCCTTTCCCTCCGGTCCTGCAGTTTTACGCAGCCTGACCTTTGTGAAATCTTCTGTACTGGCAAGACCAGCCAATGCAGATGCAGCCAAGTCAAGAGTGTGTCGTCTCCCTGGAAGACAAAAGAAAAATGATAAAAATCAATATTTTGAGAGAATAATAACTATTGTAAGTGAAATGCAGCCTAAAGAGTGTGTTTAAAACACAAAATGTCAAAATAACGAAACGGCACTACAGATAAAAGTCAATGTGAGATACAGGCATCTGTAAAGGTTAACCCAGGTTACAATCATTGAGAGCTGACCACTGTCAAGTCAGTGATATTTAGGCTAACCTGAGTGATGTTAGGGATAACCAGAGCACTATTTGGGCTAACCACAGTGCCATTTCAACATTTTGTGTTTTAAAGATACCCCAGCCTAAAAGTTAATACAATTAAACTCACATTATTTTCTTAAGAAACATAATATAATTAACAAAATAAGTAAACAAGAATGGAAGCTTACACAAGTTTTCAGGGTCCTTGTATTTCTTTTTCTTTCTCTTGATGACAGGATGTTCACTTGTGACTTGCTTCTTCTCTATCCTTGGTCTCTCAATCTGAAAATCACAAGAAACCTATCACAACATGCTACATGAAATAACAAAATCAGTGAATGGTACAATACATACATGTATCGTCAGCATTATCGCCATTTGATACAGGTGTCCACCACGAACACTTTTACCTGCCTGTGTCGAATGGCACATGCAGATCAACTTTCTGACAATACTTACAAGTACATATGTGGCTGTTTTCAACTTCCTGTGTTGAACTAATTTTTGCTGTTCATAGATCCTCCACAATTAAATATTTTAAAATTACATGACTTGCAGATTTTGCTTTTTACTGCAAATTGTACAAAGAAAGTCATGTCTGATAGCCCAGGGCTAGTGGATTTTCCGGTCGGGTTAGTGAATTCTGTCTGTTACTTGCCTGATGGGCAGGTGACTGAAAGATTTCTTGGGAACATTTTTGAGGAAATTCAAATTTCAGAAGTACTTTGAGAGATGAACTTTTGCGAGACTATAGTGAGAATGACTTGGGGGCTAGTACAAATGTACATCATAGTAAGTGTGTTCTGCTCTCCTTGCACACTTGGGTATCATTGCTGTGACTACCAAACCCCATTCCCATCACAACAGTGCTCAAGGTTTATACATTTTGACTGATTAATGAGTCAACTAGGAAATGTTAGACGTAACAGAGGTGACAAAATTAACTTTAAGGAGATTGTTGAAACAGGTACAGCACAATGCTCCTAAGCAAGCAAGTTATATAACACAACACTTCATTTAGGAGACAACAGATTTACCTCAGTATCTGTCCTCACATCATTTCTCTGTTGCAAGTTTTTAATCGGGTTTGTCGTTGTTTTGTGATGACGCTTTGGCTTTATTCTTGTTCTGTCTCCTGCTAGAGATGTCAGTTGTCTAGAAATGAAATGTACAGACATGTAAATGTAGAAGAGCTCAATGCAAGTTTCAGCAAGTTTAAAAACACATATTCTCCTTAAGTACTAAATTGTCATCATTGCTTTCATTGGTGTGAAAGATCTTGGTTTAGGACATCCTGGGAGGAGGGGGATTAACAAAAAAAGCAACTCAGGGGTGTCATTTTAACATCAAACATCTGAGTTTCATTTAAAAGGTGCTACATGCCGATGCAAATGGTGACTTCTCACTTCCAAAGAATGACTGCAGTCTGCATAAAGTTTGAGACAGATTTGTGATGTATTATGATGAATAAAGGAAGGTGAATGTAAAACTTGCCTGGAACTCCCGTGATGTTTTGTTTTTTTTGACACTATTTTTTATGCCGTCAAAAAANCCCCCTCCCCCCTTTAACTTTATAACCAATGTATGATGTGTTACGAAAGACAGACACAAAAACTGTCCAGAATTTTCTTGTTTTTTATAGAATATATCTTGCAGAGAATTAAGGAAAAGGGGCTTTGGGGGGTTACATATGCTGGGCTGTTGGACTGTTGGGCTGTTTTGCATGTGATTTTTAACCTATTAAAGGGACTTTTTTGAGCATGTGGGTAATTATTTGGCCTCATTCATACCTCCCCACCACTATTACACTATAATAAAATTACACTACCTTCTAATATACCACATTCATTTGCCTATAAGCCAATCAATTTTTGCACCAAATTAAACTGGGAACTAGCGAAATCTCTACTAGATAGGGAGGTTTGGCTTATACCTGAATATTTCTGCCAAAACAAAGTTTGCTAGTGATACAAGCACTTCAGTTGAATGTTTATATTCAGCTATAAGCTAAGCAATTATCAACAAAAACAAATTAGTAAATGTGTACGTAAATCATTGCTGCTGGTCATAAACGTTTATTCAAGTGGTAGCTCCTAAAGGAGCTGTTTTGTTTTGGTGACTTCACGAATGAAGTTTTCAGTTATCTTCTTCTTCGCTGTTGGTTTCAAATTCATCCTCCATCACCAAATCATTGTCAGCTAGTTCTGGTATATCATCAGCATAGACCTTGTCATCTTCGGTGCCATCAAGAGTATTCAAGATACCACATGTTTTCAAAGATTCCCTAACCATCTCTGCTGGAATTTCTGCCCACCACTGCTTTATCCAAGGGAGCACCAGGTTTCTCGACAGCGCTTTCTTCTTTCCCACTGGAGTGAATTCAAAGGGGCCAGTCATCATCCAGGAAAGGTACTGTCAACTGATGTTGTCCTTGAATGGTTTGTTGAGGAATTTTTGTCAGGCCACCTGGGATTACTGCCACATTGATCTTACGCCACTGCAGGTCTGATTTCACATACTCTGTCGAATAGCTCTGAAAGAATTCCAAACAAGCAGCGACCATTTGTTGTCAGGATTCCTCGGCAAACAGGTACGTATCCAGTCCTTTACACCTGAAATCAATAACAGAATACCCAGGTTAAAAATACATTGACAATTCGGAAAATCAGTGGTATGAGCATGACAAACTTTGAAATAAAGAAACAAACACGACAATAATTTACCTTTCCCATCCATCCAGCCCTTCTTGTGGAACTAATACACAAACAGTGTATGGAACAGCAAGGTCTCGTGGAGTGCATGCACTTTGAAGATCACTGCAGGTGGTAATTTTCTGCCATCAGGGGTCACTGTAAAGTTGTTCCTCTTCTTGGCAACACAGGACTTCACTGGATGGGTTTGCTGCCGTTGAATTCAAGTGTTCTGCTCAATGGAAGCTCAGATCTGAAGAACTCACCCTGATTTCTTTGCTCTGAAAATCACTCCAGAACTGTTTGATCCAATTTAGGGTCCTTCAGCGTATAACAGCCCATCGTCTTTCATTTTGCTGACATTTTCAGCTCACCGTTGAAGAGGTTTGCTTGATCTTTTCGCCAACAACAAACCATGGACTCACTGATCTCGTATTCTCTGGTGATCTATAAATTGTTCTGAACAGCCTCTGCCTCAGCCACAAATTTTAATTTCAAGGCCAAGTAGTACGAACAGCAACAAGTTTTTGGCATGATGATCGATTACGGATAACTTTGAAAGAGCGTGTGATTGTTTGAGACAGGATTCTGAACTCAGATGAATGTTTTGCCATGCACACAGTTTTATTTATACGCTTTTGAAATGTCAACTTGGATCACATATTAAATTCATGTTACCTGTGTTTTGTAGCTATTTTCAGTTAAGCGACCAATAACATTAAATATGTTTTAATGAATACATGAATAAATGAATATTCATTTTACAGTTGTGCGTTCCCCGAGAGGGATGCTTCTTTTGTTCTATGGTTTGCTGGTATGTTTATTCACTGAACAGTGCACGTGGAAAAGAAATATTCTATCTTGGCTTATACATGTACATGTAGGTAGATGTTTTGGGTTTCTTTTTCATAATTTTGTAACAGGTTCTGATGGCCAAAAGTTTAGGGTCTCGGCTTATAGGCAAGATCGGTTTATAGGCAGATAAATAAGGTACCTCAGTCACTCCAGCCACCTGCCTGCCCCTCCGTTCCAACACAAGACAGATAAACATATAATTTATATAAATTATGCAAAAACACAGCTGCAGATCATGCTCTTCCTTATGGTAAGACAAATTGTTTCGGACTGTATGCAGATGTGGTCTCTAAAACTAACAAAAAACATATTTTGACCTGTGTATTATTCTTATTATACTCACTGTGCCGTTTGCATTGAAATAGCATCCAGATCTTCAAGAGTGATTTCTGGAGCCTTTGACTCATCTTTTGCAGCTGTTGCTTTCAAATCATAAAACTCCTTCAAACCTTCTTCAAGCTCACTCGGCCGCCTTCCTTTCTGACCTGATGCTGGAGGGACATCTTGCTTGATCTGTTCATCTTGTTGATCCTCTTTGAGGGGTTTCACATCTTCATCTTTTTTCTCTGGTTCTGGTTCAGGTTCAAGGGGAATATCCACTGCGACAAAATCAAATCGCTGTGCAAGATTGGATTCCGATTTGGTCTTCATCATGCTGAAGGGTTTCATAGATGAGTTGAACTTTCTCTTTTTGTTTTTGGAAGCTGAAAACAACAATAAAAAATTATTTGCTTATCAGTGCAGGTTACCCCTTTAGTTTGTTGTGCTAGTATTATTCTCCAACCTGCCTTGCGTGCTCATCTCCCGACATCTGCAACTACTTACAAAGATGCTCAATATTTCCATCCATCATTTCAGCCATAGATCGGGTCCTCTCTATAAATCACAGCTGTAAACTTTTACATTCCTTCAAATTCACTCTTAAATCCTTTAAGTCTTTCACTGCTGGAGTCAATAACATTAACCCTTGTGAGTCTATAAATGTGGCTCAATCTAGCCTCTGTTTGAAACCATGTGTGACAAAAGTAATGAAAGTAGTGCTTTTGAGCACTACTTTCATCTGTTGTTGTCTATCCTTCAAAAAGAAAAGTTGAAAAATATTTTTCTACTTCTAGACTTGAACAAATTTAGTGTTGAAAGTGGCTGGTTCCCACGATCAGTTCGCACTATAAATATTAATCTGCTTATGATTTTAAATATAAATGTTCCATAAAGTATCTAGTGGTACATGTATACACACATATCTGTATGCTACTAAATGTCTTAATTGGAATTTACAAGAAATAAAAAAGACTTTTAAATGGTGTACATTTAACCACATATTATGAAAATGATCAGTTATTTTTATTCTAGAAAATTCTAAATACGCTCAATCAAAGCAATGTTGTTAACAGTATCCTTTTTCTTTTCCATGCAAATGTAAAATGTGATTTTAAACATGTTAATAATTAACCAGTTGGGTCATTTAGAGTACAAAATTGTTTGTGGTTTCATCAACAGAATCCACTCTTAACACATAAATAATAGTTGAAATAGCTGTCAGATTTTAAAATTAATTCACCATTACACACTGCATTCAAAAACTATTGCCAATGGAATTCTGTACACTCAGTAACATACAATGTTTAACTGAAAGAAAAATGATTCACAAAACACTCAGTTTGTGGAATTTCTAACGAACATACTTATTATCTGTAACTTTTGTAAAACTGTAACTATATTTGATACATGCAGTGACAGTATCACGGCTCATGACTGTTTTCCAGAGGGAATTGAAATAATGCTGCAGTACACTATATGGAAGCAAAATTTGAAAATAATTTTGGAAATGAAGTACTGGTCACAGAATCCAAAACATCTGTGGGTAAACATGCAGATACAACCAGTTCCTTCTGTTACAACAAAGCAAATGATTAATGTAACAATTTCCTTCGAGATTCAGCTCCTTAAAGTATCATATTTGCATATAAAGAAAAGAAAAATAAACTTACAACTGTATTCATGGCTAAACTGATAAAATTATCAGAGAATGTCCACCACAGCTGTTACACAGCACATGCATGGTTTACTTTACAGACAGAACTGTTGTTTCAAGCAAGATCCTAGAAAAAAACACTCTGTTTTCTTTGCAGATCTTATCAAAACTGGCAATCTCCACTAACAGCTACTTAAAACATTTTTCTTGCACTCAAACTGGGTGAGACCAAAGAGAAAAACCAAACTTAAAATTAAGTCACAAGTTGAACTGCTTAGAAACTTTTATCAGTAATACCTCATGACTAAACAAACTATCTTTGGCTATGTTACAAAAACATCAACATTGTGAATTGGGTCACAATATATTGTCAAAATACCACAGCTTGACCTTGCTCATGTGAGCTATGAAAATAAACAACATACAGCATTATTCTGGTGCATTTAATGCACAAAGAAAACGCGCAAACTTTTCACCAGCTATTCTACTCAAACAGCCTTTTTTGATAACATAAACAGTAAAAGCTAGTTTGCAAATTAATTCTTGGGTTAAAATAACATATTTTTACGCATCTCCAAACATACATTGATTACATTGTATGTTCTAGTTACATGCAAAGTAGACATTAGTATTACCACTAACCCTTTATCATTATTTTATTTCTAGCACATTAAGTCTACACTTTAAAACAAAAAAGCTAAAATGTAAGCTAAAATCATGACTATGACTTAAATATTCTAAAGTGAACAATGTTGTTCAGCATTACAGTTATGCACCACTTTGAAAAAAAGTAAGCTATTGTTCATATGACACATCTTGTTTTCCTTTTAGGACAGCCATGTGATATGCAACTGTATTCTCCATAAGATAGCATGATAATATGAACTTCTTCAGTCAGTTTAGCATCAATCAGAAAAAACAAATCTCTTACTAGTTGTTCCAGCAGACAGCCATAGCATTTCTGACAAATACATCTTACATAGCTTTACTTAAATGGAAGTACGATGGTCAGCCTTAGCAGGGTTTAGAATCAACAGCAATGAAGCCAGTAACTTTAAACCGATCACATAAATTAACTTATTATATGGCTTGCTCCGTGAGCGGGCAAGATGAATCAAATCCTTTGCGTGATTGGCTACCTGAGCGGACAAGATGGAGCTATCTTGCCCACTCAGGACTACCTGCCATGTCCCGCAAGGAAAATTTCCCTGAAAGCCATGTAATAAATCCTTTATTGACCAAGCTTGTTCGGTCAAGATGGCTGGATATTGGCCTCATTCTTTTTTTTGCGAGTTTATGGACCTCGACTCTGTCTCGGTCCATAAACATGCAAAAAATGAACTTGGCCACTATCCAGCCATCTTGACCTCACACTTGGTCAATATATCATACACTGTAATGTAATAGTTCCTTCAGTATGTAATTTATAATCTTGCTTCTTTACTTCAACATCAACCTTATAACTGTCCTCGAACTTTTTTTGTTAGCAAATTTAAAAAAATTATGACAAGTTAGCTAGTAAATCATTGTTAAGCAAATAAAAGAACTAGTCACCAATGAAATTATAAATTCAGCCATGCTCGACAAGGAAAAAACACCTAACTAAATTAGTAAATTAACCATAAGTCCAAAGAGTGATGAATGTTTAATTTCTCCTAACCAAATCAATTCACTACCAAGTTAACAGGTACCTGTCATGAGAATAAGGAATTTCATCCACTGGATGTCTAGATGTAACACCAAATCCTCATAACTGACATTAAAAGAAATGTAAGGGGTTCAGTAAGGAGAATTTATATTTCTAACTTAAACTACAATCATGGACAAAAGTCTTGGTACAAATTTGCACTTTTGGCACTTTTGCGTACATGATAGGCACAAATACAACTTCACCTGCCTAACCTCACCCCCCAACCCCCATACAATGTTGAAAACTAGTAGGTGCAATTTCAACTGATTGTCAACATTGTGTTGGGTGGGGAGGGGGGGACAGCAACCCATTTATAAAGGATATAGCAGCACTTTCTTCATACTTCAGTTCTAAAACACAGATAATCCCTTACATTACATAAGTGTCCCAAGGACTTTTGTCCACGATCGTAGTAATCTCATCCCGAATATCCAGTAATTGATGTACTTACGTTTCTTAAGGGATTTCCTTTCCTTCACAGGTTTTTGCTCAAGGTCTGCAATTGGCTGTAACTCTATGTCCTTCTCTTTTTCAAGATCTTTAACCTTCTCGATTTTCACAATTTTTTCATCCTTTGCATCTTTCTTCTGAACTCTCACAGGTTGTGCATCAGGAGTCTTTGATTCAGCTGTATATTCAGGAGCAGACTTCTTTCGTTCTCTTGATTCTGTCCCACTTTTGACAGTGTCCCCCTCTGGTGAACCAGGCAGTGTTTTTGATCGCTGTTTCCTAGACACTTTAACCTTGTCCGTAGTAGATGGCCTGCGTGAAAACATGGCTTTGATTGCTGAAGAGACTGCTCCGTGCTGTGGCATATCAACATCTTCCTCAGGGCTTTTTGGCTCCTTGTCCTTATCACTTCCAAATAATGACTTCTTTCTTTTCTTTTTGCTTCCTCTTCTCCTTTTCAGAGAGTCATTTTCTGGGCTTAAATCTTGTTCTTCGTTTACCTGGTTTTCCTCATTTGTTACCTTGTCAGCTTTCTTCTCCTTCTTGGAGGAACTTCTAGCACTGGGTGAAGAAGGTGGGCTCTTCTCGTTGTTTGCAACAGATACGGGTTTCCGCTGCATGTCAAGTTTTGGCAAAGAGTCACTGCTACTGTCAGAAAATTTCTTCATCTTAACATCATCAGAAGAAGCTTTCTTGGCGAGAGAGAAAGTAATGTCTTCAAACTGTTTCATCTCAGTTGGTGATAAAACCCCTCCACAGATACTATGAGGTCGGTCTTCAAGCTTTAGAATAGGCCTTGGGGGTGTGACCTTGGCGTCGTCTTTAGAAATCAAGAACTTTGCTCTGAGTTCAGCAACAGAAGGAATTTTGACTTCAGTGTTAGTGGTCGTTTTGAGACCTTTCTCTCTGATCAGATCATTTATAATATCTGCATGCACTGATGAAGCAATTGTTTTGTATCGCGGCTTACCATTTTTCATTTTTCCTTTTTGTACATCATCAACCGAACTTCTCTTCCCAATAATGCTGATCTTTGGAATATGTTCTACTTCTCTGTGATTGTTTCTTTCAGTAGAAACCTTTCTAATTTTTTCTTCAAGTTTATTATCTGCAGTAGTAGTTCTTCCATCAACCTTATCTTGAATCACTTCAACGGTAGCATCTGACTTCAAATTTTTGCCATTTTCAGACTGTAAGGTCTGATCTTTTTGTCTGGCCTCCTTAGTCATGTTTGCTGCTGGCTGCAAACCAGCAAAGAAACGTTCCCTTTCTTCACGCCTCCTCCTCCTTCTCTCTCTCAACTTCAACACAGTATCTCTTGTTGAACCATCATTGGCATCCAAAGGCTTGACTTGCACTTTATCAGCATTAGATGCTGCTGGCTCCTTAGAGTGTGCTGATTTCTCTGTGGCATCAAGAGAACTTCCATTGTCTTTGTCAACAGAATTCACTTTACACTCAGCTCGTTTCCTTGCACGTAACTCCAACGGTGACGGCGTTTCTACTGGGCCAACATAACGAACTTTAGGTTCTTTAACAGTCTTATTAACACTATCATCTTCCTTAGACGATTGTGTTACCTTTGGAGAAACTTGTAATTTCTCATCACCTGATGTGGCTGATGTTGTGTCTGGTTTGATCGATTCAGAGGTGATTTTCAACTCAGGGACTTCTTTTTCCTGTGAAGATTTCCTCCTCGCCATTCTCTCCCTGCTTTTCCTTGACTGTGGTGTTTTGCTCTCTGATTTCTCTTCTGTAGTATTCTCATCTGCCAATGGTTCCACCACAGGAGAAGTTGATCGTGATCTTCCCTCTTCAGGTGATGTGGAATGCCTTGAGTCAGGTGACTTATCCTTTTTGGTTTGATCCCAAAATTTCAATTTACTTAGCATGGAATTCTTTCCCTTTTCAATCTGGACATCAAAAGACTGAGCTTTCTTAAAATTGCTTCTCCTTCTTTGAAGAAGTGCAGGATCTACCAATGGCTCAGGACTACGGCGACGGCCACCAAAAGTCCTTTCAGCACTAGAACTTCTTGGTAAACCTAACATCCCTGGCAAAGAAACACGTCGTTTCAGTGGTGGTCGAGAAGCTCTTGAACTTTCCGACTCTAAATCACTGGACTCTTCGCCTGATTTTGCTTCTTTATTTGTAAAGTATTTTCCAGGCACAGAAAACTTCTTCAGCAATTCAGGAGTTGTCTTTGAGTCACTGGAAAATGAGAAAAACCTACCAGGACCAGATATCTTTCTCTTTGGAGGTGTCACAGGTGGAGAATGTGAAGACGATGACGATCCCCTTCTTGTTGGTGAACCTTTGACAGAGTCTTTGACAGAATCTTTTGAGTCTTTTCTGGAAAAAAGCCCAGAACTTCTCTTCTGCAATCTGTCTTCATCATCTTCAGAATCAGTTGATTCCCGAGACTTTTTACGTGAAAAAAGGCCTGTAATCTTTCTAGCAGGCTTCACTTTGTTTTCATCTTTTACTGCAGTTGCAGATCCAGCACTAACGCTCCTTTTATGACTCTTTTTAAATTTCACACCCTCCTCCCCTCCTGAACTTTGTCGCTGGGAAGATTTCCCACTGCTATTTAACTTCTTTTCACTTGATAACTGCTTCTCTAGTTTTGCACTTTCCTTTGAACTATTTCCCTCAATCGATTCTTGCTTCTTCACTAAGTTTGGTGTTTTTCCTTTTTTGGAATCACTCCTGTTAAGAGATCCTTCATAAACGCTGGCAATCTCCCTACTTAAAAGTGAAATATTTCTTGCTGCAGAAGATTCTAGCTCGTCACCATTATCACTTGAGGCGCCCTGACTACCACTGCTGCCACTTTGTCTTCGCGAGCCACTTGTTGTACTAGCTTCACTCTTCGAGCTTGGCGAGTCTTTGCGTGGAAGACTACCAAAATACTGAACTGTGGGTGATGTCAGCGATGCTGGTTTGTCAGACTTTACCCCATGACTTCCTGCATAATGAACAGTTGGAGATGAAGTTGCTGATGTTGTTTCAACTGGGCTAAGTTTTCTGTACGAAGAAGCTCTTTGACTTTCCCCACTTTTGCCATAATCATTGTCATTAACAGAGGAAGGTGAAATAGGTCTTCTTGACACTGTTTCGAGACTCAATTTTCGACTACAAGAAGTGTGAGTTTCACTGTCACTATTAAAACCTTGTGATGAAGAAGAGCGTGTTCTCCTCACTGGCAGTGTAAAAGGAGAATCCCTTAAAGAACTACTCGAATGTTGTCTAACAGGAGGGTCACTGGGACCCCATCCACACTCAGTCTCACGCAGTGTAATACTTGATCGCTGTCTAATAGGAACTCCTCCTGGGATCCAGTTTGAGTCAGTATTAAGAGAAGATCTACCAGCATTTCTGTTTGAAATAGTTGACACATGTCTTGCTGAATATGAGGGAGTTGAATCTCTTAGAGTTGTTGATGTAGAACCGGTTTTAATGCTACCATAGGAACTTTTGCGCAGAATACTACTGCTACCAACGGGTCGGCTACTCAGAGAACTGGTGCCCAATCTGCGAGATGTTGGTTTCTTTAGATCGTCAGTTAAAGAAGAGTTTGTTGAAGTACCATAAGTCCGCAAACTTCCATATCTCAAAGATTGTGATGAAGGTGTCGTGGATGAATTTGTAGATGATGAAGAAGTTGATCTGTACCTTGTAGGGTGTGATGAATCTTTACCATTAGTAGTGTTTGATCCTGAATAATTCTTTGGAAGAGAATAGTATCTTCTTGGTAATGAAGAAGGTAGAGACTGTGAGTCTTTATATCTGTGTGACATGTTAGTATCTATTTGCTCAACTCCACAGTTACAAACCAAATCATTGTCAGTGATACTTGGGTAAGAAGCATGCTTGCTTAAACTCTCCAAATGTTCTCCAATTGAAATTGAAACACTTGTTGTAAATGTTCTTGCTGACAATGGCTTTTTCAAGTACTCCTGCAAACAAAAGGAGAAAATGCAACTCTGTTAGTTAACAAACTCACACCACTTAAATTTACCACCACTGAATAACACCGCACAACACAAACAGTACAATGGATGTGACAAGTCAATAACCTGGCTTAGTGATATCTTGAGGGTTGATGTCTTCATCGTGGCATTAAGATCAACATTAAAATGATTAGTACACTAAACTGTTAAAGTCCAACATTTTGTTGAACCCTACAACTGAAAAACCAGCTACAATCACATTTAAGCATGACATGAATTATAATATGTTCATTCTAGATCGTCGAAAATTTGAGTCAATATCGATAAAAACAACACATTCTGTCACACACAAGTGAAAACAACAGATCTGAAAGACAATAAAAGGTATGAATGCTTTTAGTCCACTGCAATGCCCACTAATTTTCCAGTTTTTGAGTAATAGAATCAACGAACAAATTGGTTATGTTACAACTGAGCTGAAATTAAAGATGCCAAAAAAACAATAAGCGTTTGTGAACGAATTGATACATTTCGTAAGGGCACCAATATCACTTTGAATACTCCAATCTGCTTTGTTCTCATTATGCAAATTTTAGTCCATTAAAATCTTAAGTTGCTAAGTGCAATTCGTGACCAAATTTGAACTGTCACATAAAACAGAATACATATCGATTTTATAGAGATATAAAAATTCAGTATCGAAAAGTCGCGAAACCGCTTATATGTACGGAATCTTGAGTGCAGTTTGTTGGAGTGTAAAAGCTAGTAAATTCGAAGTTAACATTATTCTATTCCAATACAAGATTGATTACAACCTTCTCAAATTAACCACCCATACAGCGAATCGATCACTGGAAGGTTTTGAACAGAACTAACCTGAAATTCTGTTATACAGACTGACATAAACAAAACGAACAAATTTCAGCGAGATGAATTTACATAAGGTTTTTCGCTTCATTAAAAATTGATCAATTTCTGCATGGCCTATAGCTTCAATTCAAATCAGTCAAGCGGTGAAATGATATTCATAATAGTATAAACATATGTTTTGGAAGAGAGACCTAAGCTAGCCGAGTTTCTTGAGTGAATGAGCTTCGTTAATTCCGTGTTCAAAACTAAATGTCTACGAGAACTACTTGTAGGTTTAATTTTAGCGACTTGCCTCGTGAATACAGGTCAATTGATGAAAATTAACCTAGATAAACAACTTTGTCCGTTGTGACCGAATAAAAGATTGAAATTTGCAGAAGATCGTACCTTACATACACGAAAAGCACGCACACTGAAATGGCTTTTTCAAACCGACACGCTATATACAACATTTCTTATGGAAAAAAAATATTTTCAAGCAAAAATATTTCAGGAAAGCAGTAATTTGCATTAACCCCCGACCGTCAATGTCAAGAAGCGATCAGCACACCTCCGAAAACAACAAAATCCCTCCAAACAAAAGAAAGTTGTTGTTTGGAAATGTCTTTCAATTGTTGCTTTTCCTGCAAAGCGCCAGAGCTTTACGGCATGACAAGGCCCTTTACAAACGTAAACCATATAACTCAACATGGCGCTTGCCTGGTAAATAATACTCCAAACAAATAATTGCCACATGTAAATGAAAAAAAGACTTAGTTAAAATAATACCGCATACCGTCAGTCGACCTTTTGTGATGTTTTCGTCGTTTCCTAGCAAAATTTAACACTGACTTAGCAAAACTGAATTTAAAAAAGTTCTCAACCAAAACTTTACTTTTTTCCATTAAATAATAAAACTGACCTTACGAAATAAATAATTCGGACAATGGAAAGAATTCTGTTGTATTAAGTAAATTCCTTATCTCTCCTAAAAACATAAGCGAACATTTGTAATAATTTACCGGGCGATTAATTAAAAATTTTACGCATGTAAGGAAAGGAAGTTTGAAAACGCTTCTTTAAGGTATTGTTTGTGATAAAAGATTGTGTAACCTTGTGAACAAATTTGAAGACATAATATTGCCGAAAGACAGAAACCTTGCCTATTTTAATGCTCGATAAATAGATCAAATCGTGCGATGAAAATTCTAGAAAATCTCGTCAACAAACTCGGGTATCGAATGAATTTTGACGACTGGGTAGTGAAGGGAAATCTCAGAAATTGACCAGAGAAAAAACAAGTCGTTCGTCAGGAAATACCTGCTTATATAAAGAATGTATTTCAAAATGCATAGAACCTCGAAGGAAAGGAAGCCATTGTAATGGGGACAATCATTAAAACATACATTTCAGAACAGTTTGGTCTGGCTTACCTTCGATTCCTATCTGCTCACGCGACACACAGCTCACCAACTTTAGATCTCCCTGATTCTTGCAAAAATACTTTTTTCTGCAGGTAAAAATCCTTCAGAAATTTAAGGATACGCTGTATAATACAGTTAAGTTGTTCAGTACAGCACCAGAGTTTTAATTCAGTCCGGTTCCACTAACAGACAAAATCCGGCATCTTGACAGGGCCCATGCTTCACTGGCTCGTTGCCTTGTGTTTGTTCATTGTATACAGGCACTCGACGCAGCGAGGTTAATATCGCGAGACAAATTATCAAGAAAAGGCCACTCAAGCGTAAACCCTGCTCCTCAGCATGAGCAGGACATAAAATTCTATTTCACCTCACAGATTTATCGGCTTGATCTCCACAGTTAGACTCAAGCTGTTCAACGACGGATGGCGTCCATTCAGAGAAATGGCTTCGCGGTATCTCTTAACATATTCCGCGTACAAGACAAAGTTTTCAGCTCTGGGATCAACTCACAATGCATCCAGAGGGCGAAGTTAATCGCGGATTATGTCATTTGTTCCTGTCACGTCAAGAAATGGCTCGAAATATCTGCCTCTAGTTCGCAAAGGGAAAACCTTCGCGACAGACACTTCTCATGGAGCGTTGAAAATGAAACATCACTTCTGATTGGCTATCTCAGTGACAGACCATTACATCCGTATTTATGTTTTATAAGACTTGTTTTCATTGGTCGAAAATCTTGTAAACTCGGGGAAATAAAAATCCATACTTGACCCTTTTCTGCTTCGACGCCGATGAAAACCGACTTACCAAATCGTACAAACAAAACGTTCAAGAAGTTTAAAATACCAAGGGTTTTGTCTAGTGCAGTTTGTTTTATTTTTCAACAAACATGGTGAAATGACACAGTTTTTTCTCCAATTCTTGAGACTTCGCGCGAAACATGAAATACCGTAACCGGAAATGGCGCCAAAGTCTCGCACGAATTTGGTTTCCTGAATTCGGTGAAACAACATCGGTATAAATAAGTTGTCAATTTTAAAATAAGCACGTATAAGAAAAGTCAGGGGTTTTAATCAGGAAAGACAACAATGACGGCATAATTTTTCTCTCACAAGCACGTACAAACTATGACGAAACTTCCGGTCCTTCCAAACTACTTTTCGATCCGCGTAAAGCACTTTTTGCAGGGGCACCCAACGACCGTTTTCTCTCTAATGCTGTTAGATGCTGTTTTAGGCTAACTGGAGTACTTTTAAAGCTCTGTAGGTTAATTTTAGGTTGCACTAAAAAAATTTTATCTGTTCGGATATTCTAGGGGAACTTGAGTATTCTCGAATTTANCTCAACTTCAACACAGTATCTCTTGTTGAACCATCATTGGCATCCAAAGGCTTGACTTGCACTTTATCAGCATTAGATGCTGCTGGCTCCTTAGAGTGTGCTGATTTCTCTGTGGCATCAAGAGAACTTCCATTGTCTTTGTCAACAGAATTCACTTTACACTCAGCTCGTTTCCTTGCACGTAACTCCAACGGTGACGGCGTTTCTACTGGGCCAACATAACGAACTTTAGGTTCTTTAACAGTCTTATTAACACTATCATCTTCCTTAGACGATTGTGTTACCTTTGGAGAAACTTGTAATTTCTCATCACCTGATGTGGCTGATGTTGTGTCTGGTTTGATCGATTCAGAGGTGATTTTCAACTCAGGGACTTCTTTTTCCTGTGAAGATTTCCTCCTCGCCATTCTCTCCCTGCTTTTCCTTGACTGTGGTGTTTTGCTCTCTGATTTCTCTTCTGTAGTATTCTCATCTGCCAATGGTTCCACCACAGGAGAAGTTGATCGTGATCTTCCCTCTTCAGGTGATGTGGAATGCCTTGAGTCAGGTGACTTATCCTTTTTGGTTTGATCCCAAAATTTCAATTTACTTAGCATGGAATTCTTTCCCTTTTCAATCTGGACATCAAAAGACTGAGCTTTCTTAAAATTGCTTCTCCTTCTTTGAAGAAGTGCAGGATCTACCAATGGCTCAGGACTACGGCGACGGCCACCAAAAGTCCTTTCAGCACTAGAACTTCTTGGTAAACCTAACATCCCTGGCAAAGAAACACGTCGTTTCAGTGGTGGTCGAGAAGCTCTTGAACTTTCCGACTCTAAATCACTGGACTCTTCGCCTGATTTTGCTTCTTTATTTGTAAAGTATTTTCCAGGCACAGAAAACTTCTTCAGCAATTCAGGAGTTGTCTTTGAGTCACTGGAAAATGAGAAAAACCTACCAGGACCAGATATCTTTCTCTTTGGAGGTGTCACAGGTGGAGAATGTGAAGACGATGACGATCCCCTTCTTGTTGGTGAACCTTTGACAGAGTCTTTGACAGAATCTTTTGAGTCTTTTCTGGAAAAAAGCCCAGAACTTCTCTTCTGCAATCTGTCTTCATCATCTTCAGAATCAGTTGATTCCCGAGACTTTTTACGTGAAAAAAGGCCTGTAATCTTTCTAGCAGGCTTCACTTTGTTTTCATCTTTTACTGCAGTTGCAGATCCAGCACTAACGCTCCTTTTATGACTCTTTTTAAATTTCACACCCTCCTCCCCTCCTGAACTTTGTCGCTGGGAAGATTTCCCACTGCTATTTAACTTCTTTTCACTTGATAACTGCTTCTCTAGTTTTGCACTTTCCTTTGAACTATTTCCCTCAATCGATTCTTGCTTCTTCACTAAGTTTGGTGTTTTTCCTTTTTTGGAATCACTCCTGTTAAGAGATCCTTCATAAACGCTGGCAATCTCCCTACTTAAAAGTGAAATATTTCTTGCTGCAGAAGATTCTAGCTCGTCACCATTATCACTTGAGGCGCCCTGACTACCACTGCTGCCACTTTGTCTTCGCGAGCCACTTGTTGTACTAGCTTCACTCTTCGAGCTTGGCGAGTCTTTGCGTGGAAGACTACCAAAATACTGAACTGTGGGTGATGTCAGCGATGCTGGTTTGTCAGACTTTACCCCATGACTTCCTGCATAATGAACAGTTGGAGATGAAGTTGCTGATGTTGTTTCAACTGGGCTAAGTTTTCTGTACGAAGAAGCTCTTTGACTTTCCCCACTTTTGCCATAATCATTGTCATTAACAGAGGAAGGTGAAATAGGTCTTCTTGACACTGTTTCGAGACTCAATTTTCGACTACAAGAAGTGTGAGTTTCACTGTCACTATTAAAACCTTGTGATGAAGAAGAG